TATTCATAGAACTAGTTTTAAGATACCCGTGTGTATGGAGTTCTATTTAAATTCTAAATTGTTGTGTTTACATCACACTTGTTGCAGGGAAATACGTCGCATACATTAAAAAAATGAGAATTTAAATGACAAGTACTTATTGGAATACGTGGCATTAAAATGTTGTAACATTGCAAACAAATATATTAAAATTTACATATCTATATTACCGTTCACACAATACCGATGTCAGATGTCACAAATATTTCCATCAAATGCAAACCCATAAATATCCACAAATATTAAAACCACAGAGCAACAACAACAATAACTTTAATTGGTTGATAATAAAAAATGCAAATAATTAAATAAACCAAACCGAATGACAAATGTCTTCAACAAATATTGGTAAAAAAACAATTTCATTTGAAGTAGACTCGTATCGATTCTGTCAAATTAAACTTCCCGGCTATTAAACAAAACTGGTTTTATTTTGACAAGATGAATAGAACAGATCAACACAAACGCCGACTCACAGATAACCAAATATTTAACACCTTGCTCAGCAACAGCAGTTGTTGATGGGCGGCCATACACACGTGTATGTATGTATGCACTTTATATTTAACGGCTTGAGCAGAACTCAAAACACAAATTAAACCGGCCCTAAACATCGGCAAAGTTATAAAAGAGCCCAAAAAACAACTATCCAGTAACTCTCAGTCATTCGGCTGTGTAAAAATCATTCACAGTCAGCAAAGTCAGTCAGTCAATGTGTCCATTAAACCTTGACCTTGACTTTACCACCACAACGAAAAAACCCAAAAACAACTACATATGCCAAACACAACTGTTAGCGCTGATGGTAAATGACGCTTCAGATTTTTTTATTTAGCCAGACAGTCAGTCGAAATTTTCAAGCAGCGGAATATAAAACTCATACCCAAAGCAGAGTACGTTTATTTTGTTGAAGGCTGTATGAATTGTATGAAGAATGTTTGTAACTTCAGATCAGTTAATGATGACTACAAACCAACCAACAATGGGCCAAGACCAGTTTGATCTCTTTCGAGCATCACAATGTCACTGCTTAATTAAGGTGATGAGACTGCAAATTCACACAAACACACACGGGTTGAACTAAGCTTTGAACAAAGAATAACTATTATCGGCAGTTTACTGCTTGATCATTCATTAATTACGGGTGATGATTGGTAACGGAATTTACGTCTGGGAATTAAGTATTTAGTTTTAAAAATAGTTTAAGGAAGCTGGCCTTCTAGTGGGCATATCGAACCCAAAAAATTGGTGGGAGAATATAGTTTTTGACAGGGCAAATCAAAATTGTTAATAAATTTGTTGACAGAAATGTCAAAATTAACACAACAGAATATCAGAAGTTGACATAACGTATGTTCGTTTGTACAAATTATTACTGGATGTTTTTCTTCCAGTAAAATAGAATGAATTGAGAGAAAAGATTTGACAGTTGTGTACATAGCAATTCTTACAACTGTTTTATGACCAAATGTGAAAATTTTAAAAATTCCCAGCTTCAATATCAAACAAATAAATTAGAAAATTTGTTTAAATTTGTAGTGTCTATTTCTATAATTTAAACATATGTTTATATTACTTTTTGACCTAATGCCATTATGAAACCAACGAAATGTATATGTATACGTAAATAAATAGCAGCTGATTGTCAACTTTATATACCTTGATTTAGCCTGTGTTTACAAACGACAGGACAGTCGAAGACAATTGTTAAAAACTTAAAATTAATAGGCATCCAGACAATTTGAAAAAAAATTCTTCCATTATTGAAAATATTTATTATATTACAATAGAATTATAAATTTTTTAATTAATTAATTTACTTATCCTTTTGCTTTCAAATGTCATAAATTCTCTAGGTTTACTGCCTATGAAAACTTCAAGACAGTCTCTAGACAATTGACAAATATATAATTGTATTGGTTAAAATGTTTTTTTTTTTATTTTTTTATAGTCTACCAAAAAATTATAGTCTAAACGTGCCTTAAGTTATATTGAGGTGAACCAAATGCAACTCTGTATGTAGTGGTTTATACGGTCAAATATAAAATAAATATATTTTAATTTATTAAAATTAAATGTAAAACCTTTTGATACAGAAAATATATATTTTGGTTTGATAGAGCAGGTTACAGTAGTGTTGGCGAGTTATTTGGGATACCATTTGTATTTTGTTTTTGCAATTTTTTTTGCATAAAAACAACAGGTTACTATTAGGAAAAAATCTAATTCCTTAATTTGTAGTAATTATTACAATTACTAATACCCCTTCCGACCTTGACTTTGATTTTTCAATACATATCTATATAAGGATTTAAACACAAAAGTAAATTTTAAATATCATTCGGTTTTTACTTACACTTTTTCATTGCACCGGAGGTTGGTTTGATGTCACGAACGATAAATAAATAGCAGAGCGTTAATTGTTAAATTAGTATTCAAATTCAATACGAATTGATTTAGGTATTTTGTACTATTGTAAACATTGAACCACGATTTGTTGTTATTTAATTATATATTAGAGTGTGACGACCAATTATACAAATAATTGTATTTTTATGATTTTAATGGATCAAAAATTTAAAAAAAAAAAAAAAATAATAATAAAAAATATTCAATCCGTATTTAATATTAAAATGTCATTATTATTTCATAAATTTCGGTACATAATATATTTTACTATAATTTAAATAAATTATTTCAAATTTTTTGGAACATGAAAAAAATGTTTGTTTTGATTAACTCCTATAAATCTATGTTTATTATATAACTACAAAAACATACATCTATTTTGGAGCAGGGCGTTTTAAAATCAACATGAATAGAGTTGCTTTAAAATTCACATGCCATAGTGAATTATAATCGAAAACGCATTTTGTATGATAAATCTATAATTTATAGTATAACGGTTAAGTGATAATTAAATCTGCATTCGACAAAAAATATATCGATTTTTAATTTGTCAGATGCATATTTTGTATGCATACTGAATAAATTATTTAATGCTGTGTTGAAAATAAGTTATTGATTTCTTTTGTGATGATCTTCTATTCATTGGAGTGCCACTTTTGGTGATGGAGATGCTATGTCAAAAAGTCAATGGACCATCAAATTTGGGTGTACAAGTGTATGGAATGCAAATCCAAGTGATGACATTTATCATTAACGAATGTCTAAAATAAAAGAAATGAAAATTAAAATATCAAGCCTACTTAATATTATGACAAATGGAATCACCTTGACAAAACATAAGTTTGATTTCTCTTTTTAAGAAATGCCTATAAAATATACTTCATTATATACCCAGTTATGACGTATGTAGGCTCAAATTCAGCAACTCAGTTTAAAAGTGAAAGTGATTTTTTTTAAATTTCCGTTGATAACACTCAGAGCCATTCACAAGAACAAGATAAATATAGGCCATTATATATTAATTTTCATTGATATCGAACACATGTCGATAAAGTCCAAAAAACCAGCTCTATACCAAAGTCCAATAGTGGATCAATAAAATCGCGTGCTTATTTAGGCATATGCAAATTTAAATGAAATTAAATTGTTATTGTCATTCATTAGATGAGTAGGGGCACAGTGGGTGGAAAAGAAGAGAAATAAAATAAAAAATCAATATAAGTTGGAGTATGCTAGTGTAACTTAGATACTCCGTTCTTACGTGCAAAAATCTTGGCGAAAATAAAAATACATCAGTACAGGTCCGAAAAATGTTACCTTCTCTCAGTAAATTTTGTTTTTATCAGTACATTTAATTGGTGGTGGAGAAATAGTTAAGAAAACTAGTTTATATGAAAATATAAAATCGCCTTTATACAGACTGTACCTTTTAAATCTACTCAATTAACTCCGCACTGACACCTGAAAACACAATAAGCTTTTTTTTTTATATCGTTTCCACGACAGAGGGGTCAATTAACTCCGCACTGACACCTGAAAACACAATAAGCTTTTATACTTACTTTCATATTTGATATATTTAAAATCAGCTGATCGAACTATGTAAACGCACTTTATCGGAATGCAATAGGTTCCCAGTAACATTTGCTCAGTAAGAATTTGCAGAGAGTAAAACAGGATTTTTTTATTGTATCGACACAGCTGATTAAAGCAACAAACAATTTGGCGCAAACAAAACATTAATTATGATACAAAATAAAATTCACAAAACATCAATTTGCTTCAGAACAATTTTGTTGTTTGTTTACAAAACATAACAAAAAAGCTGATTAAATATCAGCTGATGGTACAAGAAAATTCTTCCTGAGTAAATTTTCCTTGTAAGAAATTGCAAATACTCAGTAATACAACTGTCAAATCTCCTCTCTCAATCCACTCTCTTTTACTGGACTTTTGGGTAAACAAACAACATTTTGTAATAATTTGTACAAATTATTGAGTAAAGGAACGAATCTAATGACTGTCAGCTGATAATTGTTGATATATTTAAAATCATCTGATACAACTTTGTAAACCGACCTTAACCAAACACAACATACGACTAAAATCAGCTGATTAATTACAATACGAAAACAATACAGTAAAAATGTTGCAAATTATTTATATGCATTGAATTGCCAAACACACCTACTGTAAATAAAAAAATCGCCCATTGTGTAATGCATAATTAAGTTTTATGCTAGTTTTATTCGTAGCTATTATAAAATAATTAAATGTACACAATATACCAAATATATACTATACAAAAGTTTCTACAAATTAAAAGAAAGCAATTTCACAATTTCGTTAAACAACTCAAACCTGAAACAAATATCCGTCCAAGTACTAAGAATACTATAGAAATAACTTACGAAACTTACACATTTTAGTTTTCTGATATTAAAAATAAATTGTAATTGAAATAAAAACGGCACTATCATTAAGATATTAATTTGTTTCGTTCACATCGCTGACAGTGAAAATATTTTTTTTTATTTTACATTTCCAGATTACAACAAAACATCTTAAAACTTTACAATGGGAAATCCAAAATCATTATCGTATGACAGCAACAACATGGCTGTCATTGATTTAGGCTCGGCAATTATTCGCATGGAACCTGATGATCCACCACAATGGGCATTGGAAATTGCACGCAAAGAATTGAGAGAAACGCCCGATGTGGCTCAGGAAGCCAAGAAGAAATTAAAAGAGTTGATTGAAGGTGAGTTGAATAAAAGTTTTTTGTATACATTTTTAATATTATTAAATATAATATTCTGATTTTAGCGGAAACTGAATTGAATTTGCCCACAGATGATTTCTATTTGCAAATGTTTTTGAGACCAACACATTATTATCCAGAAAGTGCTTTAAAAAGGGTAAGTTTCTTATAAGGAATTGATTTCTTTTATTTTTCCTTAACTAATATTTATTCATCATTATTTTCAGATAAAACACTTCTATAATATGCTTCAAAAATACGGCGAAGCTTGTCGTGATATTGTGCCCGCCAAAGTGCAACATGTCTTTGAAGCTGAACTCTTAACACTTTTGCCCAATCGCGATCAACATGGTCGCAGAATATTGGTGTTACAAGCTGGAAGTAAGTGCTTAAGAATGACATTAAAAATACTGTTGCAACTAATAATGAAAATTACTCTCCTTCTTCTTACAGAAAAATGGAAACCATCTGAAGTATCGTTGGTCGATATGTTCCGTGGTATTCAACTTACCGTTTTGGGTTCCATGGTTGAACCATTGTCACAAATTTGTGGTGCTGTGGTCATCATTGATGTGGAAGGTTTGCCCATGGGTCACATTATGCACTTTACACCAAACTTTGCCGCCATGTTATTGGATTATGTCCAAGAGTGTATTTGTGTGCGTCTGAAAGCCGTACACATTGTTAATAATTCGTATATTTTCAATATACTATTCAATATCTTTAAACCTTTCATCAGAGAGAAACTCAGGAAGAGGGTATGTGAAGCAGTCAAACTTATAATTAATTAAAATAACATTCTTACATTTCTTGCAAATTTTAGATTTACTTCCATGGCAAGGATATGAAATCCTTGACAAAACACATTGATGCTGCTGTCTTGCCGGCCAAATATGGTGGTAGTGCTACATGGGAAATGCCACCTGGTAAATTGTTGGGAGAATTTTTCATGTCATATACACCAGATTTTGAAAGTGAGTTATACATAAAATCTGTTTTTTTTTTATCAATAAATAATTTGTTTCCATTATTTTCCATTTGTTTAGAGGCCGCCAGCTATGGTTGGAAAGATGGTTATAAAATTAAAAAGTAATCTGGATCATCCACCCCTTCCCTCTTCTTGGTGTACCTTAAATTATTTGTTTATAGGTTCTCATCACTTATTATTGTTAAGATTGTAATTGTTTTTTTCTTATTTTTTTCTACTTTGTAAAGTATTTTGTGATATTGTTCGCATTAAAATTAAGTGTATGTCATTATTTCGTTACAAAACTGTATCGATCCAAGTACATACCGTATAAGTATGGGCGTGTTAAATTAAGTTTTGAGTTCATTATCAATACAACAATGTCATTTTCCTATCATACTATCCCTAGTTAATAGTGTGTAATAAAAGTGAAACAAAAACTGAAAAAGTAATAGTATTAATTTATTAAAGGTGTCTGAGCGGAAATTTATGTTCCATTTGTATCTAAAGTAAAATATTAAATAAAATATAAAATAATCTGTAAGCCATTTAATGTGAAGGCAAATGATCACTCATATTACAAAAACAAATTAAGAATAAATAAAAAAGAGAAATAAATACAAATGTAAATTCGGTATTGAAGAACTCCAACCCTATAAAAACTCGTTTACATCTCCCCGAACGTGTTGTATATGATCCGAAACGATCCTAATCTCACTCGGCCAATATCTGTCAACTGTGTCCAAAATTTATCATATATGTATAATAAATAAATCTCCATTGAGGAAAACAAGTTTGCTGAAATATTGCAAACTGAAATCAGTTTAGTGTAGAGTAAATATTCAATTTGCTTATACCTTTCGTTGTGTTTAATTCTCATATTTGAAAATAAATTGTTAATATCAAAAATGGCCAACACGAAAAACAATATATGTACTATTCCAATACTGTTCAGTAATATCGTACTTACGTAGCTGACTTATGACAGAACATTTGTTTCATAAGCCGAGATTTAAAAAGATTTCCAGGCCCATCGGTCTTGTGCGCATCTGTTCCAATTTGAAAAACCATGTTCCAAGATGTTGTTTTCCACTTGATCTTTACATTGAATTCGTGGCTTTCTTTTGACCCGCTTCTCACGACATGACCTAGCCAGCGTAGTCGCTATTATCAGTTTTGTTTATCGCGGTACCAAGGTATATAAATTGGTCTAAATCTACTAGGCGTCTTGCGCGTTTTTACTATCACCTTGGTCTTCTCGCCATTTACTGCTGGTCCCACTTTGGCAGACTCCTTTTCTATTTGATCAAAGTTCGACCCATTATGTCGATGTCGTCCGCGTAGGCTAGCAACATGTGTTGTTTGGTGTACAGAGTGTCATTTCTGTTCATATTTGCCTCACACGATAAACTGTGACCCTGTATGAATCCTCGTTCGATATTAAACGGCTCCGAGATGTCCTTTCCGACTTTATCTTGTTCCAGATAAAATTATGCTGATAGCCGTATCAATTTGGCAGGAATGTCGGCCGCAGACATTACTTTAAACACCTCTGGACAGGTAGGGCTGTCGAATGCGTCTTTATAGGCCTGCGTCTATATATTTGCAAGGCCTGAAGCCGCATTGGTATGGTCCGATAATGTCATTGACCATTGGCTTTAGTCGTTCACATAGCACGCTGGAAATCACTTTATATGCGATAGGAAGGGTACTTATTCCTCTATAGTTGGCCCATATCGGCTTGTCTCCTTTTTTTGTGCACGGGACACAGGATGCTGAGGTTCCAATCATTGGGAATGCATTCCTCTAGCCAAATTGTACAAATCAGCTGGTGCATGATCCTGACCAGCATCTGCTGCTATATTATTCTTGAGACGATTCTGATATTTATAACAATTTTTTTAAACAATTGTGCCTCACAATATCTTAACTGCTATCAAAAAAAAAAAATAATAATTCAAGCAACATATTTTTTTAAATACAAGAATGACTAAAAATAATTCCAATTGGTTTTTTTTTGGTCCTCTATAGTTTATATAATAATGTGTCATTTCTAAAATGTCATTTAAAATGTTCAATTACAATTTTTAAACTCCAAAACAACAGTTCTCGAACACGTTAATTCAAAACTGTTTTTCTTCGTAACCAAATTAACGGTAAATTTAAGGTTGGTGTACAAATTACATTGTGCAAACAAAAAAATCATTTGCGACATCTTTACTTCATTTCTTCACTCATGCATTATTTTTCCTAATACTTATTGCATACCACCAGATGGCGGTGGTCATTTGAACATAACAATTATTTATTAATAACATTAATATTGATGGTACACCATTTATGTTATTCTAATAATATTTGCTCAATCATGATTTATTTAATTTGTATTTTCATTAAATTTTTACTCCTTGGCATTTTGACATACAAAGAAAAAGTTCTGAACGTTCCTTTTGTGTAATCCGAAATATTATCAGATGATTTTCACTTCTTCCATGTCCCGTTCTATACAAAGCAAGCTGTTATTCTTCACATTCTATTCGTAAACAACACATTCCACGTACATTTTCTTTTGAGTTGGTTTTTTAGCAATATCTTAACTGCTATCAAAAAAAAAAAAAATAATTCAAGCAACATATTTTTTTTAAATACAAGAATGACTAAAAATAATTCCAATTGGATTTTTTTTGGTCCACTATAGTTTATATAATAATGTGCCATTTCTAAAATGTCATTTAAAATGTTCAATTACAATTTTTAAACTCCAAAACAACAGTTCTCGAACACGTTAATTCAAAACTGTTGTTCTTCGTAACCAAATTAACTGTAAATTTAAGGTTGGTGTACAAATTACATTGTGCAAACAAAAAAATCATTTGCGACATCTTTACTTCATTTCTTCACTCATGCATTATTTTTCCTAATACTTATTGCATACCACCAGATGGCGGTGGTCATTTGAACATAACAATTATTTATTAATAGCATTAATATTGATGGTACACCATTTATGTTATTCTAATAATATTTGCTCAATCATGATTTATTTAACTTGTATTTTCATTAAATTTTTACTCCTTGGCATTTTGACATACAAAGAAAAAGTTCTGAACGTTCCTTTTGTGTAATCCGAAATATTATCAGATGATTTTCACTTCTTCCATGTCCCGTTCTATACAAAGCAAGCTGTTATTCTTCACATTCTATTCGTAAACAACACATTCCACGTACATTTTCTTTTGAGTTGGTTTTTTAGCAGCAGTTCTCTCCTACATCTCCTTTTCGTAACAACGTGTGGAACGCTTTTAATTGAGGTCTGTTTATAAATAGCGCGCCAAAAAAGCGTCATCACGTCCAAGTCTCTCGCTGCAATGGTATGCAAAAAATTAAAAGAAATTTAATGTAATTTTTATACAAAAAATATATAAAGAGTAAAGATTTAGTAAGCGTCATTCAAAATGGATCAATATCCTGACGAAAATGAAGAATTCGAATTGCAATACCAAGAAGAGTTGGAGTTGATGGATGAGTTTGCGGAGCAAAATGGTATGTAACCCATATTCCCCACACGATCGGAATATGTTTAATATGTATATTTATTTATAGATTTTGTACCCGTTGTAAACAACAAAACTATTGTAAATCCCAAACCTGCCCTCTCACAAAGTACTCTGAATTCTCCACAATTGTCGCAGATCAGTTTCAATGCCGATGATTCGCAATTGTCTTCATTGGGGGCTGGTGGTGGTGGGCCAGTTAATCGTCGTCTGTTTGGAACACCCAAACAACCACCTACTCGTGGAGCCTCAACACCCTTTATAAGCAAACAAAAGCAAATGGCTCCCATACAGGAAGTGGTCGACTTAAACGGTCTTGAACATGAAGAAGAATTGGATATGGGTCCATCGACTGCCAACAGAGCTCTTGAGGAATTACAAAAAGCCAATAATAAACGTAAACGTTTGGAGAGAGATTTATTTGGTGACATCGCTGACATATTTGGCGACGACACGTATGAAGATCCGGAAGCCAAAAAGGCTCGCACCGAAGAAGAAAGAGATATGGAAGCTATAGAAAAAATTTTGGAGACCCGTCGTAAATTACGTGAACAAAGTAAAGCTGTTAGACCAGACAGTTTGGCTCGTCTAGAAGCATTGCATGCTTTTAAAATGCGCAATCTCTCCTACAATATTCCGCAGTGGCCATTTTTGCCTTTGCGTCGTAGTGATGATGAACGTGTTTATGTTCGATTCCATTCGGAGGAATATGAGACAAAGGCCATTAATGAAATAAGTGCTGCCTCTGGACTTGGTGGTTTGTTGGGCGAGCATAAAGAGAAAATCTGGGAGGAAGCCAATGAATTGGTTCTAAAGCGACTCAGCTCGAATAAGGATGTGGCAAACGAGGAACATGCTCCCATTGTTGTGGAGCCGGTATCAAATGAAGATTCGCGTCTTTGGGTGGAGAAATATAAACCTCGCAAATATATTGATCTCTTATCGGATGAAATGACAAATCGATCGCTGTTGTATTGGCTGAAAATGTGGGACAAAGTGGTTTTTGGCAAGTACGAACAAATGTTTAAACTATCAAAAAATAATATTTAAAATAGTTTTCATTTATGTTTAGAGAATTCAAAGCATTGCAGGCCAATGCTGCCAATAATGGTGAAGTGAATAGCTTTAATAAACGTACAGGGAAGTTCGAATCGAATGGTGGCTGGAGGGCCCGCAAATCAAAACAGTTCCTCAATACCAATGTCGATGAAATGGGAAGACCCGTACAAAAGGTAGCTTTACTTTGTGGTCCTCCTGGTTTGGGTAAAACAACATTGGCCCATACCATTGCCCGCCATGCAGGTTATAATGTGCGCGAAGTGAATGCTTCGGATGATCGCAGCCCTGAAGCGTTTAAATTGGCCCTAGAAAATGGTACACAAATGTCTTCTGTTATGAATGAAAGCAAGAAACCGAATTGTATAATATTGGGTAAGGCTAGGAAGTACGATTTTATTTCGAAATTACAATTAAAAATCTTTTTTTTTTGTATACCAATTCAGATGAAATCGATGGTGCACCACGTCAATCAATTGAATTTCTAGTTAAATTTGTCACTGACAGTGTGCCCGTCAAGGGCAAAGGCAAGGGTGCTGGCAAAGGAGCTCACAATATTCTCAAACGCCCAATTATATGTATTTGTAATGATATTTATGATCCTGCCTTAAGACCGTTGCGTCAAATAGCTTTCGTTGTTACATTCCCGCCAATTGACTCATCACGGCTGGCTGAGCGTTTAGTGCAGGTCGCGCAAAATGAAAGAATGAAAACAGATTTTGGTTCATTAATAGCTTTGGCTGAAAAGTCTGGCAATGATGTGCGCTGTTGTATCTCTACAATGCAATTTTTTAAGTATGTTGGTTATTGGGGTACAATTGTAATATATTTATAATTTTTTGTTCTTTATTTCAGTGCTCAGAAGAAGGGTTTGACTCTTCAAGATGTGCTTAACAATAATCTGGGTCAAAAAGACAGACATCAAGGCCTATTTGAAGTTTGGGGTGCCATTTTTAGGGTAAGTCAGTCATTTATAAACAAACTTTATTTTATTTTTCTAGGTGTAATAGAGATGCAGATGTAAAAAAAATATCCTTTTTAGGTAGTTCCAACTTTATATCTTATGGATCAGATTAATTTTGATCTAATTATCACTCGATTCCATTCGAATTTTACGGTTAAATATGTAGTATCGACAATAGGGAGAATAGTATCGGGATAACGTTAGATCGATGATTCGATAGTATACAAGTTTCTCACCATATAAAACAGCAGGACCAGGCATTGTCTTCCTGGTTTTATTACAAAATAAGCCAGACTACGTATGGAATCTAATTTTGGTTCAAAAAAACCAAAATTACTTGTTGGCAGAAAAGGCTGATAGTCTAGCCGACTTTTATTGGGAATTTAATTGAAATATAACACTGGATCTACAAGAACGCTATCAGACCAATCTTCTGTAGTCTTGGAGTAATTGGTTTATATATAATTTACAATTTATATATTCTTTACTTCATTATAAATTCCCTACAAATATTTAATACAATCTTTATTATAAGCATTATATATTTTTTATTTTCTCACATTAGATTCAAAGACCGAAAAAACAATTGACCCAAGCTCGCGGCGATGAAGAGGCTCAAGTCACAATGACGGACATGTCGATGAGTACACGTGTACGTCATGTTCTTGATGTGGTACATTCTGGCGGTGATTATGAACGGTAAGTCAATTTTATTTTTCTTCGTCATTGTTCCAAAAAATAAAGCATTTCTTTACTCTCCTTACAGGCTAATGCAAGGTGTTTATGAAAATTATTTACAACAAAAAATGCCCGATCCAAATCTAAATGGAATTGTCGAGGCTAACCAATGGTTTTGTTTCTCCGATACACTGCAACGACAAATACAACAGCAACAAAATTATACTGTATATCCTTATCTGCAGTATGGCTTTGTGATATGGCACATGTTATTCGCCTCACTGGCTTGGCCTAAAATAAATTTCCCCAGCAAATCGTTTGAGGTAAGCATGATTGCATTTCATCTGCTGTCTTTAGTTTTTTGCCTTCTTTCCTCTATAGCTCGCCTGGCATCATATCATTAATGTTTTATAATTCAATTCAGCGCTTATGAATAGGTGCTGCTGCTTTTTTGTTTACCTTTTCTAAATGTCATTTTCATATTTTCAATGGACCTTAAATTGCACGGGTATGCTTGAGTGTTTGCCTGACTGGTGTGCACAATTTTTAGCTTGGAGGCTGCATCGTCCTTAGGAAGTTTATAAGTAGATTTTTTATGATCATTTTAATGAATAAAATGCAATCAAGAGATTAAATGTGCAGAAACAAAATGCAAACATAATGCTGTGCTCGATGAAAGAGGAAATATGGTGGTTGTTATTTGTTTCACATTCCCATTATACTTTGTAATTTCTTAAGCAGTTCATTTGTGGTACACACACACTCGAACAAAGGTTTGTTTACATTGGCAAGATTTTAATTACGTAGACCTTTTGAAAAGCTTGGGATTTTGTTCTCCACTCAACGATAATCGAATCGTTTGTAACTTTCATTTTTGTTAAATTTCATGCTTGCTTTTTTGTTTCTTTTTTTCGTAGTTTAATCAAAAGCAAACCAACCAGAAAAATATTTTCCAATCTTTGAGAAAATCCTTTACGTGTGGTGCTATTGGTGTGGGTCAGGGTCATGTTGTGCTGTTGGAAACAGTTCCATTGCTTAAGAGAATACTATCACCTCAATTGAGATCAGTGGCTGTACAATTGTTATCTCAAAAGTAAGTAATAATAGAATTTTATTAATAATATTTGTCAATAATACTATAATATGTATTCATTTCCATTCTCCAGAGAACAAAGTGATTTGAAACATTGCGTGGAAATTATGGCTGATTTAGGTATTACCTATCACCAAGTAAAATCAGCCGAAGGTCCATATATTTTCCGTATGGAACCCGATTTAGATGCATTGGCACAATTCCCTGGTTTCCAGGGTGTTACTCTCTCCTATTTTGGCCGTCAATTGGTTGCACGAGAAGTTGAACTGGAACGTATACATCGTTCCACGCCGAAAGCTATCGAATCAAATGACAAAGCTCAACAACAAAAGGCCAAGAAAGCACAAGAAATTAAAGCGCCTGCCAAACCTAACACAAATGCCACCTCACCTACAAATTTACCCAATCATTTGCAACGTTTAAAACCAAAACGCATCGAGAGTTCAAAGGCAGCCAGCGAAACGGTAAGTAGTTCAAACGATTTTATTTTCATTTTATTCGACATCAATGCACATTGAAAGGAGGAAAACTCAACTTTATATCAACTACGTGCTTGTCATTGCAAATCAAACTATATATTTAGGAAGAAAAAATGGTTAGGGAATTGTGTGAAAGATGCATGGGATTTACATAACAAACTGCTGTAGAACATCATTTAGTAAGTATATGTTGTGAGAACAAATTTGTGCAAGTTATTGCTTTGTGTGCATAAAAACCAATTGGTTGTTTGGAGTTTTGAAAACAACGTGCTGAGAATTTAGGTTTCCTTTTTGCATATATTGGCGGCATAATAGAAAAACTATATATGGAAGACTTAATTATTTCTAAAGAAATTTTGAAGGCAATAAACATTTTAGAAAAGAAATGTTTTATGAGACATGCATTTTTATGAGATTGCAAAATTTGAATTATTATTATTAATATTTCTAAATTATTATACATACATATTTTGAAATTTAAATTTATTAATATATTTTTGGTGGAAGAATTGAAATTGAGTTGAAACAATTATATTAATTGCAACAGTTATTGTTGTTGTAGCAGCCCTACTGCTTTTACTCAATGATGTAAACTGTGTATTGTGTATTTTATCGTGCAATAATATTATATTAATTAATTTGTTGTAAAGAAAATAAGCTGTGATTACAAAATTGTGTGCTTAAGTTTGATTGTTTGAAAAACAAAGTTAATTTGAATGTAATAACTAATTTTGAAAAATATTTAATTATGAAAGGTTTTATAGCTGTGAAAGAGTGGATTTTTCAAGAAAAAAAAATTGGTTAATATTTTGAAATTATTTTTAAATAATATTTTTTTCAAGTGATTGTTTAATTGATGTGTTTTGTTTAAAACGTGGAAGTAAATTCAAAATTTTACGTTATTTAAAAAAGTATATACTCTTTATAATTTCCATAAATTGAGTTCGAAATTTAAAACATTACCTTAACTCTTATTAATGGATTGATTTTTCGAATATATTTATATTTTATTCGTCTGGTTATTAAAATTTAAAATCTCCTTTACTTTTAATGTGATATAGTGGTTTTTGGAACCGATATTGGCCTTGAAGCTGAAGAGTATTTTTAAAATTGTGTTCAAGTTAAAACATGAGTGGTAAATTTCTAAAATAATATGCGAAATAAAAAAAAAACTATTCAAAATTATAAATAAAAAAATTGTTTCAAAAAACAAATTGTCTATAAATTTAACCGACATACATATTTTTTTTAATCTAATAAAAACCACTTTAAACGAAATAAAAAAAAAAAAACTAATTACATATTTTGATAAAGTTCGTACATGTAAAAAAAAACATACTTACTTAGCTGGCTTATTACAGAACGGTTGTTCCATAAGCCGAGCTTAAAAAAGATTTCCATGCGCGTCGGTTTTGTGCTCAGCTCCTTCAATTTCAAAGACCACGTTCCAAGATGTTGTTGTCTACTTGGTCTTTCCATCTAATTCGTGGCCTTCCCCTTCTACGGGAACCATCAGTATGCCCGCTTTTATATGCCTTTTGAGCTGGGGCATCATCATCCATTCTCACAACATGACCTATCCAACGTAGTCGCTGCAGCTCGATACGTCTGACTTTGTCAATGTCAGAGAATAGATGGTTTAAGTCATGGAGAAATGTTCTCTCAAACATTCCAAGAGCTGCCTCATGTGCTTGCGTATGTACCAATGCTTCAGATCCATATAACAGCACGGGTAGTATCAGCGTCTTGTAGAGTGTGAGTTTGGACTGCCTGGAGGTGGCCTTGTTTCTAAACTGCTTACTTAGACCACAGTAGCATCTGTTGGCCATCACAATCCTTCTCCGAATATAAAAACTGATGTTATTCGTTTTATTTATGGCGTTACCAAGGTATATCAAATCTTTAACTATCTCGAAGCTGTAGTTCTCAAGTTCCACAGTTGGTCCGAGTTTACTGGACGTCTTGCTCGTTGATACCATCAGCTTGGTCTTCTCCCCGTTTACTGCCAGATCCACTTTGGCAGATACCTTCTCAATTTGTTCAAAGGTGGCTGTTACCGATCGCAATGTTCGACCCATTATATCGATGTTATCGGCGTAGGCGAGTAACATGTGCTGTTTCTGTTCACCTTTGCATCTTGTATTACCTTTTCCAGCTGGATGTTAAAAATATCACACGACAATCTGTCACCTTGTCTGAATCCTCGTTCGGTATTGAAGGGCTCCGATAGGTCCTTTCCGACTTTAACTGCTGACCTTGTGCTACTGAAAGTTAGCCGTATTAATTCCTGCAAAATTAATACGGCTAACTTTAAGTAGCACAAACCTAGACATGGTTTTAAACAACCCTGAACAGATAGGGCTGTCGAATTCGGCTTTATAGTCAACGAATAGATGGTATGCTTCGACGTGTTTTGTCGTGGGTCTTTTCCAGGATTTGGGGCAGAGTAAAAATCAATCTTCAATCGTTCACACAGCACACTGGATAGCACTTTATATACGATGGGAAGAATACTAATTCCTCTATAGTTGACACATTCCTCTATAGTTGACACAGGATGCTGAGTTTCCAATCATTGGGCATGTATTCCTCTAGCCTAATTGTACTATTCAGCTGGTGCATGCTCCTGACCAGCATCTGACCACCAGTCTTGAATAGTTCGGCTGTTAACCCATCGGCTCCTGCTGATTTATTTTCTTTAGCCGATTAAATGCTATTCTGCCCTCATCTTGGCTAGGTGGTATACACCCTATACCATCATCTCTTATTGGTTCTGAGGTATCTTTTTCACCGCCACAATTTGATACCAGAAGTTTTTCGAAATGCTTCTTCCAGAACCTCAGCACGCTGTCTGTATCTGTCACCAGGTTCCCTTCAGTATCTCTACAGGAGGATGTGCCTGCACCAAAGCCTTCGGTTTGGTGTTTTACTCGTTGGTAAAATTTTCGGACATCATTCAGACTTCTGTACATCTCAATTTGCTCACGCTCACGTTTTAGTGCTTTTTTCTGCAAAATACGTTTCTCCTCTCTCCTTTTCTCCCGATAGTTCTCCATCGCATTACGTGTTGCTACTGTCCGCAGGGTTGCCCTTCCCTATACGCTGCGTTTTTCATATCAGTAGTATTACGACATTTGCTGCAGTTTGTAGGGAGTGGGCAATTCTCTGTTATTATCGGGACAAGGGGTGCTTTCGTCAAACAGTTGGGTAAGTTGGGCGGAGTAGGCTTCTGCTATCTGTTGTGTTTGCAGCTTTTCGACGTCAAATTTCCGTGTTACATAAGATCGCACATTTGCTGCTACATTAAGACGGGTACGTACCTTGGCTGTCACAAGGTAATGGTCCGAATCGATATTCGCTCCCCGGATCGATCGGACGTATAATACACTTGATGAATGCCTTCCGTCTATCACAACATGATCAATTCAATTTCTCGTTGTTTGATCGGGAGAAATCCAGGTGGCCTTGTGTATATCGAGTTTTTTGAAGCTGATGCTGCTAACTACCATGTTTTTGGTGCCGCGAAGTCAATCAACCCCATGCCGTTGTCTGATGTTTCGTCATGAATTTTCCGACGGTGGGACCAAATATATTTTCCCTTCCGATTTTTGCATTAAAATCTCCTAGCAGAATTTTAATATCATGGCCAGGGCAACGGTCATATGATATTTCTAGACGCTCGTAAAATATGTTTTTGGTCTGCTCATCTTTGTCTTCCGTCGGAGCATGGGCCCAAATAAGACTGATGTATAAGAACTTCGATTTTATGCGGATTATAGTAATTGGTTCATCTACTGGAGTGAATCTGGAGACGAGGTATTTTATTCTCCTGTTGACCATAAATCCGCAGCCAAATTCATGTCTCGTTTCATGGCTACTAAAATACAGTGCGTAATCGTCTGATTTACTTACGCCTGTCCCTTTTCATCGCATTTCCTGTAAGGTAATAATATCGGCTTTGTACTTCTTGAGTACGTCCGCCAAAGCGAGAACTACGCAGATCGGGTCCTTTATACGTTTATCGCAAAAGATAAACTTTGTCCCCACAAAGGGTCAAGATTATCATATTGGGTAAAATTTTTTTGCCGCAAATTATAAATTTGTTTTCTTCTTCAATTTTTCTAAGTGAAGAAAGGCAGGCCACAAAAAAAAAAGAAGAAATCCAGGCAACAGTCACTAGTTGATCAAATCAGTTTAACATATCAGTTTCATTTAAAAACAAAACTTTTGGCTAATATAATGACAAATATTTGATTTACATTCCTGCATATAAAATACAATCAAAATATTTCAATTAATCCAAAAACAAAGATAAATTATCAACAGTGCATAACCTCTAAATATTTCAATTTCAACTTTAATATCATATTGAAATCAAAAAATCTCAACACTAGATAAACATTTATATACCCCAAAGAATATAAATTCATAAAACCATTAACTTGAGCCATAAAATTGAAATCAAATCTCAGTGTGCACCAATAAAAAAATATCCAATAAGAAAGTTAGTGTGGAATTTACTTGGGGACAAAAAGGTAGGTTGGTATCATCAGCATCATCATCGTGTAGTGACAACAATATCCGTTTGTTTTCATTTCAGTAAAGAACAAAAGAAATAAAAAAAAAACAATCGAAAATAAATACACACACAGAACTCAAAGTTAAATTGAAAATAAAATTCTATTTAGAAAAAAAAAGAGAAAAAGTTATCAAAACTAAGCAACCATGGCAGGACCCAGAGGCGGCCAAAATGATGATAAGAAAAAGTTTACAAAATATTATTTACAATTGTTGTGTAATCTAACAAATGTTGTGTTGTGTGCCTCAATTCATTCATAACCAACAAATGATATTTTCTTGTATAAAAACAAGCAGCAGGATCAACAATCAAGGATGATGATGGCACCCGTAATCAGAATAATATGACATTGTTTCGATTGTGTGTACGTGTGTGTGTTTATATAACGCTATCAATTTTGATTCGCAAACATGCACACACCTCCAATCTATGTCTCGTTATCCAAAATAAATGTATGATTTTGGTTTTGTTTCTGCTTTCAGGTCACCAAGGATTTCTTTGGACGCATACAACGTAAAACACCAGCACAAAAACTGGCGGAGGAACGTAAGTATTGTATTGTATGGTGGTTTGTTGTGTTTGTATTGGCTGACAGGCTGCTCGGTTGGTTGGTTGGCTGACTGGTAACGAGAAGAACACCTCAGTTTTAAATCAGCTCAAGCATTGCATTGTAATAATTTTCTATTGTTGCAAAGTAAATCAACAACTTTTGTTTGTTTTGTATTGTGGCATTACCACCATTTTCAATTTGATCCTGGTGAAATGTAACTTTGCGCCTGCCTGTCTTCTATTACACACATTTTATTTGTGTGTTTGTTAAATATTAATTTTATGCTTCACTCTCACTTGATAATTTTTTGTTGTTTTTGTTATTATTTTCAGCTAAATCTGATCCAATTGTCAAGAGTCCAATTTGGTATCGATACAAGGAGGGTTTCAATAATGCCGTACGCAAAGATATTCATATGAATGAATTGTTGTAACACCATCTTCCGAAATTTTTGTTTTTCAACAATTTCAATTTTTTTATTTGATACGAATAAATGTTAAAAAATAATAACAATAGTTTTAAGGTGTTCCATTATATGAATAAAGTTTTATTTATTTTTCTTGTATTACAATTGGTGTATGTTTAACAACCCGTATTGTTTTTTATATAAACAAATTTATATAAATATGTATGTGTCATTTGATGATTTAATTTTATTTGTTTAGCTGTAAATTTTCGTTGGACTTTTTTTCTTGGTATTTTTACTACACAGTTTTACATTTATAATATTAATTATTATTGGGAAATGGTGAAATTTTTAATAATTTGTTTAACTTCAATGGACTATTTCGCAAATCGTAATATTATTACCAAATCAACGTTCAATGCGAAGATGGTGTCTTTCTGTCCACTCCTTCCACAAACTAATTGCGTCTCCTAGTTCATCCAAATCTCACACCAGGCACTTTTTTGTGTCGAATCAAAACAATATCCGAAGATAGAGTCTATTGGGCTCAACCTTTGGTACCCCCAATTTTCGATATAAGCCGTTTTTATCGAAATTGCTGAAATTTGAAACCTTCGCCTCTTTTTGGATACCGAATGCCCCCACGAAAACTTTTTTCTGATAGCCCCAATATAACTGTACCCTCCAATTTTCGGTATTTTTGGGTAGCAAATCTATCAAAAAAGTAAAATTTTAAATATTGGCACACTTTTTCTGATAGCCTCCATATAAAGGTTCCCCCTAATTTTTGGTATTTTGGGGTAGTTAAGCGCGTTTTTTAGTCGAATTTGCTGAAATTTAGTATATTCGGTTTTTATTGGGTACCAAATGTTTCCACGAAAAATTATAAATATTGGTCTATTTTTTCTGATAGCCCCCATATAACGGTACCCCCATTCGATGTAGTTTCGTATTTTTAGTTCTTATTGAACTATAAAAAATGGGTCGAGGCGTCGGGTTAGTTGCCCATACTCGGAAAAACACTTCTATTATGAAAAAGCAACGAAAAAAACCAAACCCAAACCCCACCGTCGGAAAATTCAGCGTCCATGAAGAAACAACCGATGAGGTGATTCACATGAGGTTTATTGACTTCGCGGCAGCGAAAAACTTGTTAGTTAGCAGCACTGGAATCAAGCATCTCGATCGATCGGGATTTCTCCCGATCGAGCAACGAGAAATCAAATCGATCTTGTTGTGATAAACGGAAGGCATTCATCCAGTGTTTTAGACGTTCGTTCGATCCGAGGAGCGAATATCGATTCGGACCATTACCTTGTAGCAGCCAAAGTTCGTACTCGTCTTAATGTAGCAGCAAAGGTGCGATCTAATGTACCATCAAGTAACCCGTGGTATGATCAGGAGTGTCGTAATGCTGCTGATGTGAAAAACGCAGCGTATAGGGCAACCCTGCAGACAGTAGCAACACGTACTATGATGGAGAATTATCAGGAGAAAAGGAGAGAGGTGAAACTGAGGAAAAAGAAAGAAAAGAAAAACGTGAGCGGGAGCAAATCGAGATGTACATGAGTCAGAAAGAAGTCCGGATATTTTACCAACGGGTAATACACCAAACCAAGGGCTTTGGTGCAGGCACATCCTCCTGTAGATATAAAGAAGGAAACCTAGCGACAGATACAGACAGCGTGTTGAGGATCAGTAAGGAGCAGTTTTGAAAATATATAATAGATGATGATATACAGTGTATACCACCTATCCAAGATGAGGTCAGAAATCAATCGGCTAAAAAATAATAAAGCAGCAGGTGGCGATGGGATTCCCGCCGATCTATTCAAGACTGGTGGTCAGATGCTGGTCAGGAGCATGCAACAGCTGGCTGATTAGTACAATGTGACTAGAGGAATGCATTCCCAATGATTGGAAACTCAGAATCCTGTGTCTCGTGCACAAATAAGGGGACAAGACAATATGTACCAACTATAGAGGAATTAGTCTCTATTCCATCGCATATAAAGTGCTATCCAGCGTGCTGTGTGAACGACTGAAGCCAATGGTCATAGAAATGGAAAAGACCCACGATAAACACATCGACACCGTCCACCTATTCGTTGACTGTAAAGCCGCATTCGACAGTCTTATTCGTTCAGAGGTGTTTAAAGCCATGTCTGCGTTTGGCATTCCTGCAATATTAATCCGACTATGCAGGATGATTCACATAGAAGGGGAAGTCCACGAATTAGATGGGCAGATCAAGTGGAAGACAACATTGCCGAACAGGGTCTTTCAAATTGGAAAAACTGTGCAAAAGACAAACGCTTATGTTCGGCTTATGGAACGAAAGTTCTGTCACAAGTCATCTAAGTAAGTAAATATAAAAAAAAACCTTTCCAAGATCGACAATATTCAAACAGTTCTTATTTACTTTTATTAGATACTTCTATGGGTAAATTCCATGGTTTATATAGAGCCAGATTACACCGGTTCAAAGAAGATATTTCCAATTTCCCATTTACCTATATTCTATGACAAAAACACAAATTTTGTCTAATCATATTGAACTTTGATTATTTTTTGAATATTTTTGTTGTTCTTGGCAATGGCGATATTCAATTTTGACCTTCTAAGTCCACAGATTAAACTGAACTTTATCGGCAGCGTTAAGGTAAACAAAATTACCTATAAGACTAATAGAGTTATAATAATTTTGTTTAAATAAGTGGCGATTTGCTTTTGTTAGCCAGTATCAGTGTCAATGGCCTGCCAATCATTCCCTCATTTCATTTTTATACCAGAAAAGTTCAGTCATTGCACTGCAACATTTTGGGATGAAAAAAAAAAATCAAAAACAGAAATTCATAATTATTTAGGGGTCGTTGTATGTTATACCACACCAGACACATGAATCATTGCTTTGATGGGATCAAATATACATCTTAGAACATGCAATGGGATGACATTTGAATTTCGCCGTTTGAGATATGAAAAATTTCCGTTAAATAGAAAGCAAATCAATATATGTAATTAATTCCAGGTTTTATTACCCAATTCCTCTTAATAACTTTCCCTAATATAAACCCTGCCGATTCTCGCTTGTCACTTTGTCTCGAAGAAGCAAATAATTTGTAGCCTAGTGTCGGCTATGCGTAAATAATGAAGAGGCGTTAATTTCATTGGACAACATTTAGATTAAAACAAAGGAGTGGCAACAACAAGAGGCAGCTTAGCTAGCTAGTCACTAACTAAAGTTTAGAATGCCGCTGTGATTGCATGAAGTCTGGTGTAAGAGAGCGTGCCTGCCTAGATTCGTGTGCGTAAGACTTGCTATTCCCTTGTTCATGCCGTTTGAGATCTTTACTCTTTGCTCCTCCGTTTTTTTTTTGTATGTGTGAGTGTGTGTATTTGTGTTACTGATAAGAATTTCCAATGTCCGCTCTGACGTTTCATTGCCCGCCTCTCCCTTCGTCCGTCCGTCCGTCCGTCCTTTGCTATGCCAGCCTGGCCATGTAGTTGTTCTGTTGTTTGAAGCCCCCCACCACTTGATCTGTAATATTCAAACTGAAACAATTCATTCTCTAAGAAAGAGTAAAAACAGTTCAGTACGTGGTCGGTTGGTTGAGTGCGTCGTCGAACAGAGAAGACGAAGAAAAAATAACAATTTCCGAATATTTTCATTTGTACAAGAAAAAAATAAAAAAAAAATAATAATAATAAAAAATATAATTAAATTTGCCGGTAAAATCCAGATTGAACATGATGACGAATTTCTTTAGAATGTTTGTTGTAATTGCAATTGTTGTGCTCTGCTCGATGAATTCGATAGAATCACGTAAATGGGGTATTCCAAGTAAGTCTGTCGATTTGCTGTTTTTTTGTTTTGTTTTGATGTTTCTTTTTTGTTTGCCTTAGACATTTGTTTACAACCACCACCACGTTCCGAAGGCGTCTGTACCCTGGAGATCGAAGGCTATTACTATGATCAGCAAAAAAATAATTGTGAAAAATATACTGTGGGTGGTTGCCGCCTGACCGGTGGTCAAAGTTTTGGTTCTCAACAAGACTGTTTGGCAACCTGTGTCCATGGAACCCGTCGTCTTCAAGACATCCGACATGATTAGTTCGTTTGGCCGGATTGTGAAATATTTGGTGTTTGAAAAAAATTATGAGAAATAAATGTGAATTTCTTTGTCGATAGAAAAACCTCAAAATGTTATAAAAATGAGTGAAAATACTTTGATTAAAATAATTTGTATTTAATATGGTGTATGCATCAGCTATAACAACGACTCTTCAATTCGTACATTATGGTCGGAAACGCCATTATTTTTATAATGCCATTCAACCCGGAGATTTCCTGATAATAACAATGCAAATTTTTCAAGAAAGCCTGTGCTATCCGAAAATCGGCTTCGAAAGCCGGCCTTACAAATATAAAATTGAGGAGGTTGCCCAGATCTCCGACAACCAACAGATTCCAATACTGGATATGAAACTGACATTTTTGTACAATCAAAATTACTTCCACATGTTACTTTCTAAATTTCCATAAATAGAATTATTTAGGGTCTAATAGCAATGGTTCTAGCTTTCAAATTATATGCAATGAGTTTAATAGGTTCATTAAAACCGGAACGGGTTTATTATCTAAAAATCTGGTTCAATAAATTAGGGATCCGAAACTTTCTCAAGCGAATAAATGTCACCAACGTGAATCTCATAGCGAGATCTGGTAAATATTTCTGACGAATCCGACAGTTGTTCATATTTACTTTACTTAACTGGCTTGAGACAGAACATTTGTTCACAAAAGCCGAACTTAAAAAAGATTTCCCGGGGCGTCGATGTTATGCGCAGGTTCTCCAATTTGAAAGACCATGTTTTGATGTGTCATACTCCACTTGTACGTGTGGTCGCTTTTATATGCCTTTAGAGCTGGGTCATTCTCATCCATTCGCACAACATGGGCTATCCATGCAGTTCGATAGACTGACTATGTCGATTTCCGTGTATAATTGATAAAGCTCGTGGTTCATTCTACGCCAATATTCACCGTCGACGCAGATCAGCCCGTAGATCTTTCTGAGAAGTTTTATTTCAAATGCTTCTGACCCATACAACAGCAAGGGTAGTATCAGCGTCTTGTAGAGGGTGAGTTTGGTCTGCGGAGATGTGGCCTTATTTTTAAACTGCTTACTTAGTGCATCTGTTGGCCAACACTATTCTTCTCCGAATTTCAAAGCTAATGTTATTCGAAGCTGTAGTTTTCAAGTTCCACAGTTGGTCGGAGTCTACATGACGTCTTACGCGTTGATACCATCTGCTTGGTCTTTTCGCCATTTAATGCCAGATCCACTTTGGTAGACTCCTTCTCAATTTGTTCAAAGGTGGCTGTTACCTCTCGCAATGTTCGACCCATTATGTCGATGTCGTCGGCGTAGGCGAGTAACATGTGTTGTTTGGTGTACCGAGTGCAATTTGTGTTCATCTTTGCCTCTCGTATGACCTTTTCCAGCAGTATGTTGAAAAGGTCACTCCGGAAGGCCCTTTCCGACTTTAACTGCTGATCTTGTGTCAGTTAAAGTTATCCTGCATAGCCGTATTAATTTTGCAGGAACGCCGAAGGCAGACATGGATTTAAACACCTCTGAATGGATAAGCTGTCGAATGCGGCTTTATATTCGACGAATAGGTGGAATGTGTCGATGTGTTTTTCTTGGTTTTTTTTTCAGAATTTGGAGCAGTAGTTGGCACATATCATCCTGTATCCAGAATGCTGATGTTCCAATCATTGGACATGCATTCCTCTAATCAAACTGTACTAATGAGCTGGTGCATGCTCCTCATTAGCATCTGATCACCGCTCTTGAATAGTTCGGCTGGTAGCCCATCGGCACCTGCTGCTTTATTATTCTGTAGACGATTGGCTGCTATTCTGACCTTGGTTAGGTGGTATACACTATATACCGTCGTCTCTTATTTTCTTGCTCTTTCTTCTTTTTTCTGAAAATATGCTTCTCCTCTCTTTTCTCCCGATAATTCTCTCTCGTATTACAGTGCTATAGGATGATGATTCATCGCCATCAATGCTCTCATGTCGTGATAACTCACTTCGAATGTTGTGAAAATTTATCGATTTTCAGGTCATTGTAAACATTACAGCACATGGTCGTTAGTCAATGTTTCGTGCTGTTAAAATTGTCCATTCCGTATGCAGCACATCGAAATATTCGTCCCAGATCCTATTTTTGAAAAAAAAAAATATTCTATGTCATAATAGAGATCGTAATATTAAAAAAAATAAAAAAATTTTGACCATTGGTGGGAGGTGTCAGAAGGAGTGGACTAATGGGTCCCCTCTTTGGACTTGATCTAGGCTCGGAATGGATAATATGTTGTGCGAAGTTTGATCTAGGCCCATCCTTTATTCATAAGATAGTTGAAATTCCGGTTCCGTTACATATAGGTCCATGTTTTGATATAGACCCCAAACAAATGGTCCAATTGTATTTTCATGGCCCTAAGTTGTTGTTTGCAGAAAATTTTCGCAAAAAAAAAACGCCGTTGAATGTAGGTAGGTAGCCATAAAATTGTTCCAACTAATTTTAGCTATTTTGTTTATGATCCCAAATGCTATTTTTATGTAAGGAACTCCACCGATTTTACCTATTTTTAATGCATTTTTTGCTGATATTTGTAATCGTCATCCTTGTTTTGTCTTGTGATTTCCACTTTTGGCCAGTTTCATATTGACGTATGTTGTTATTGTCATACTCGAAAATTGAACTTTAGATTATTTCTGTTATCAGTTTTAAGAGTTTATTGAATGTGAGCGAGTAACAATGATGTCCAATACAATTATTATGAGGAATGTTTATGCACCAATGACAAGAAATCCTTGAGGATATATGATATTCATATATGTACTTTGTTGGATCTGCATAGAATCGATGTGAAAATCCAATTTATGCCAACTTTATAGATTTTTTCAATATCGTTCATTCCCCTTTTTTAAAATAAAGTGTATAATGAGAGATATTAATAATTTGTATCTGTGAAATTGGTTCGCTTTTCCTGATTGCATCCTCTGTAGACAGATAGCTGCCTGTATTGTACAAATATACTGTGATAAGGACAAATTCTTGTCCATGCTTCTAAATTGCGTTAATTTAATATCTCTACTATAATTTTGGCTCTCTTTACGGTACTAAAATTTGGCAACTAAATCATTGCCAGAACATGATTAGAATCAGTTGCTAAGCTTCCATTAATCAATTTTAATCTTCCATTATGTTTTCCTATAGTAGATAGCATGGCGACATGTTGTTCGCCCCAAAAATACAACGAATGGTCTTTGATCCGTAATGGGCCATTTAATCACACGACCAAAGAACATCCCGTAAAACACTTCATTTCACATTTATATTTACAATATGTACTTACATAAACAAGTGGTAACACATTACATACATATAGTACATACTTCTACTATATAGTATAATACACAGCATGACATTTCTCATCGGGTCCATTGAGACAACAGTACCATTGATCTCGGCTTATCGCGCTTAAAACCAAATCGAAGAAGCGAGAAGAAAATAAAAGAAAAAACAACAACAAATCTCTGGCTGTGGAGCACGAGTTTACGCTCTGATCACAACGATCAAAGAAAACATCTAACAAACAAAAGAATGTCTGGGCTATCAGTCGTTACTGGCGGTCCAGGCTATATTTGGTTATCGAAAATGCTCTCTTTATTTGTTGTTGTTGTTATTATTTGTGTGTCGATTGTTTGTGTGTGATGGTGTTTGTCCAGCAGCTGAGCTGACGTTGAGCCAAAGGAAAAAATAAGTATTAACGTTTTTCTGAAATTCATGGCATTACGCTTGCATTCGTGAGATTGTTCAAATTGTTCAAAGAACAAGAAAAAAACAACAGCAATAAAAATAAAATAAAGAAAAAATTATAAAAAAAAATCATAACGAAGAGTGAAATTCAAATGGGAAATCGTTTTCACTTTCGATTTATACGCAAATCAGACATTATTTTATATTGTAAAACGTGAAATTACAAAAACAACCAAGTATTGTGTAAAGTTGTCAGCAATCCTTTGAAGAAGAAAAAAGTATCCTGCCTCATTAAACAAAATCAGTATTCGTTAAAATAAAAAAAAAAACAAATAACGGTCGAAATGCGTTTCCTGTCACTTTGTTGTATTCTTTTTGGATTGATTGGATTACTGGAAGCAAGATCACGTATGTTTTATCGTCGATTATTTGGATAAGATATGAAAGTGTACAGAAATGCATTAAACGTGAGTTCCGACCCAATCACTATTATTTCGTTAATTGCGTTTAGGTAATTAAGTGAAATGATACGAAATTTAGAACCAAAGTTACGTGTCTTAACACATGTTTATTTCACATTTCCCCAAAAAAGGCATTCAAGTGCCCAAAATAGCATATTAATGGGAATTTCACAATGGCGCCCAACATAAGACTAAATTAATGTGTCGACTTTGTAAGCCTATTAATGTGGTAATCCTCATTGGCGGCCAACATAAGGTCCCAAACAACATTCAATGGGCATTTCTTATTGGCGCCCAACATAAGATTAAATGTAAGTGTCGACATTGTAGCCATAAATGTGTAATCTCAGCATCCTGTGTCCCGTGCACAAAAAAAGAAAAGCGTACTGTGTGAACAACTGAAGCCAATGGTCAATGACATTATTGGACCATAGCAATGCGGTTTCAGGCATGGCATATTCACCATTGACCAGATTTTCACTCAGCGTCAAATCCTGAAAAAGACCCACGAAAAGCACATCGACACATTCCACCTATTCGTCGACTATAAAGTCGGATTCGACAGCCCTATTCGTTCTGAGGCGTTTAAAGCCATGTCTGCGTTGGCCATTCTTGCAAAATTAATACGGCTATGCAGGATAACTATAACAGGCACAAAGTCAGCAGTTGAAAAAAAGGAAAGGTCCTTTCGGAGCCTCTCGTGTGAAATGACACTCCGTACACCAAACAACACATGTTACTCGCATACGCCGATGACAGCGACATAATGTGTCGAACATTGCGAGCGGTAAGATCCACCTTTGAACGAATTAAAAAGGAGTCTGCCAAAGTGGGACTGGCAGTAAATGGCGACCAGACCAAGATGACGCGCCAGACGTCCAGTAGACTCGGCTAACTGTGGAACTTGGAAACTACAGCTTCTTAGTCAAAGATTTTATATACCTCGGTACCGCCATAAATAAAACTAATGACATAAGTTTTGAAATTCGGAGAAGGATAGGGTTGGCCAACAGATGCTATTATAGAAACAAGGCCACTTCTCGCCATTCCAAACTCACTCTCTACAAGACGCTGATCCTATTGAATATAGCCGTCGAATGTACCAAGAGTTATGACATATATTCTCGAACATCGACATAGTTAGACATATCGAGCTGAAGCGACTACGTTGTCTAGGTCAAATTGTGAGAATGGATGTGGATGCCTCAGCTCAAAACGCATATAAAAGTGGTTCTCGCAGAAGGGGAAGGCCACGAATTCGATCCGATTCTTTGAAGGCACAAAACGTCAATGGCTATTTTGTTTCGGGTTCATACGCATAGATTTATGTGCTATTCTTATAAACGTTATTTGAAGAACCGAGAGTAGTTCTTATATTTTTGATCCAATCTTCATTAGGTTTTTTTTTGGTTTCATCATACATATCGAAACGTTTAATGCATTTTTGTCCACATGTTATTGTCTTCAAATTTTGAAACGTAATCAATTTTGAAACTAAATTCCCCAAACAGGTCCAGTCGTTGACATTTGTGATCGCCAGCCAACAATTACCGGCCTATGTCTGACATCTACCCTGGGTATTTACTACGATGCTGAGACGCAACATTGTCGTTATGTCGGCTGTAGTCCAGATAAAAAATTATTTGCCTCGCTGGATGATTGTGAAAAGATTTGCAATAGCAAGAGAAGAAGAAATCGTCGAAATCGCCAGTCGAGAAATCAAATATAGATGGCGCCTCTCCACCCACCCACGAAATAGCCAGCTGTGACGGATACCGCCAAAGATATACCAAAGTTTATTTTAGATATTTTTTATAGTTAAACGTTTTTGTCATTTGTATTATTGTTGTTGTATCTGTGACCATGGCTTCAATTTGAAAATGCAATTGCATTTAATGTGGATGCAGTTTCGGAGTATTGTTGTTGTATATTTTAAAACACACAAGAAAAACACACTGAGAATACAAATAAATAAAAAACAAAAATAAATCGTAATTTATTTTGTAGATAACGTACAGAATGCTGTATTTTTTATTTTAATTCTTAATTGTTTTGCGTTTTAAAACCAATCAGAGGCCGAATGAATTGACCGATTTAAAAGTGAAATGAAATATGTTTTTTGTTTTTTTTTTTTTTTAATTAACAATTATTAATGATTTGTTTATTTTCTTTATATAATTATCGCTGTCATTATGGAGGTTCATCCTTAAAATGTTATCAACAGCCGTTGAATTTTTATAGAAAAGCGTGTAGAGCATTTGTTTTACAATCCATTGTCCATGTGACACGTTTCATTTTAATCCCTAAAGTTTGCCTAGTGAGATAACCCCCATACGTTGTTGCAATGATCGGGAAACATTGAATTTCCACGACAATAACACTCTGGAACACAACATAATAATGACAAGAAAAACAGGAACTGATTATAATAGAGGTGGCAGAAATACAGGAACTTTGAATCGACTTTTTTTAATTTACACCATGAGATAATCACAACAGAGATTGAATATATCTCTCTTTTACATCAGTTCAAGATATTCGAGCTTGTACAATAAGTATTTCAAATATTTGAAGTACAATTATTCAAGGCCTTTAAAATCATTTTCAATTTCTTTATATTTTCTTAAGGATTATAATTTAAACCACATACAATTACTTTGAAGGCTGTGTGTGTACCGTACACATTTATCCCACATGTGCATCACATAACACACACCCCCACTTATCCTCTCAAAAATGCATAACTAATTCATTGTACTTTTCACACACACCCACATATCGATACACTCACACACGCCAACTTTCCCTACTTATGATAATGCCAAGTGTCCCTAGTCTTTCCACTGCCATTGGAATCCTTCTGCTAATTGCCAATGCAATTATGCAGTTTGCAATCGGCATTAACATAATTAACACCATTGCCATTGGAATGTCTGGCAACTAAACAGGGATTTGGCCAGGGGCGGACGTGCAATGCAGAGGAATGTTTTTACATTACAAACACCTGCAATTGCCATTACAACTTAATTAATATTAATTAATTTAGTTAAACGACTAATATTGAAATGGTCATCAAATATCTATGCATGAGTGTGTGCGTGTATGTGTGTGGGTATTTGTGTAAGTGTGTATAACACATACAGAGCTAATACAAATTTATACTCACCTATATAGTTTTAGAAATATGTTTTTTATATATGGATGTAATAACAATAATGATTTTAAATTGTGTACTTGTTTATTAGGGTGGTTGTTAACATTTATCAAAAGAATTTAATGTAAAAAACCAGTAAGGAAAGTAGTAAAGTAGGACTGGGCCGACTATATGATACCCTTCACCACTTTGGGTATATTGTACATATGTATCCTTACACTTGCATGTCAATGTTCCTTCGAAGGAACGTACTCATGTCTTTCTGCAACCCGTGGTAAATTTAATTTCATTCGGGCATATTTAGAGTCGTATGGAACAAATTTATGGAAAACGATTTATAGCAAAATTGATACGCGCTATTCGGTACGCCGCACTGTTAAAAATGTTCGAAATACCTATGGAAGCTATGGCTGCATCTGGACCAATTTCAACAAAACGCAATAACGTCATTCAAGTCTCAATTTGATACATTGTTCGAAATTTCGTGTTATTCGCACAAACATTAGGAGTGTGGAGAGTCATTTATGTAAAATCGGACGAATAAATATGTGAGGCCTATATAGAAATCTGAACCGATCCTAATCTTACCACACATCATTCTACATTTCAAATCCAAGAATATGTAGAACCAATTTTCTCGAAATTTTACACACATCGTTCTAGACTTAATTCAGTACGCTGTTCCAAATTTCGTGCAAATCGAAGGATATATAGGGACTTCGGTGCACTATTTACCTGAAATCGGACGAAACTATATATGGGAGCTATATGTAAATCTGAACCGATTTTTACGAAATTTTACTCACATCGTTCTAGACTTAATTCCGTACGCGATGCCAAATTTCGTGCAAATCGAAGTATATATAGGGACTTTGGTGCACTATTTAACTTAAATCGGACGAAAATATATATGGGAGGTATATCTAAATCTGAACCGATTTTTCCCAATATCAATAGGGTTCGTCCTTGGGCCGAATAAGTGACCTGTGCCAAATTTCATCCAATTAGGATTATAAATGCGGCCTGTACTTTGTCTACAATTTAACATGGACAGACAGACGGACGGACGGACATGCATAAATCGACTTAAAAAGTGATTCTATGCATATTCTCAAAAGGAACCATGTGTCTATCTCGTTTCCTTTTGCCTGTTACAAACATATGCACAAAGACATAATAACGTGTACCACAGTGTGGTGAAGGGTATAATAAAAGAGTGTACTGTTTGTCATTTTAATGTAGCTAGATATGAGATCCTGTTAAGTTGAAAATGTGGGATTTCATTAACATCAAAAAGTGCAGTCCGATTATATTTTAGCCCGATTTTTCACATACATTCCTACTTTTTCCACAATGTTACGTATTGAAAATGTGATATATCGGTTCCCGTTTTGGTATCAACCTTTATATTTGGATGTCAATTTTCTCTCAACTTATAAATATCGGTCCCTTTTGTTATAACCCCCATATAACAGTAATCCCACTTTTCGGTATTTTGAGGATTTCAGTAAAGATTTTCAACCGTTACACGTTTTCTTTATTTGTTCAAAGTCCTAGCCCAACTTGATTGTCGACACTTTGGTAGGTCGATTTCTCCTGGAAGCTCCAATCGGTTTTTGGTATTTTATATATCCACCTCATGGTGAGGGTGTTTTTACTTCCTTGATGTTGTGTAACGTGATTTGACGGATTGAGAACGATGGTTTTCGGGAGTCGGATGTGACGATCGGCAACGGTGATCGGGAATGTGATTGTCGGAAGCGACTACGACGATTTAACGGTGATCGGGAACGATGGTTGTTGGCAGTCGGCACAATGATCGGTTACGACGATTATAACGATGATCGGAAACATATTAGTAGTACATATTGACTAAGAGCTCGTACAACATACTATACCTAACTACGAACAGTAATCCGAAGCTTCTGTATGGAACTGAAATACTTATGTTTGCGATGTAACAACATGAATGAGACTTTTGTCACGTTACAGATGTTATGATAGTCTTTATTATTTATTTATCAATTTCCCAAGGAAGTGACTGTTATATTGGGTAAAACATTTCTTTGCAGATACGATTCATATTTTGACATATAAGTCATCAATTCCAATATTTTAAAGCGACATGGCTATAAGTATGCATTTAAAAGAGCCCTTGCCAAAACAATATCCATAATATTGGTTTGCTCTTAACATAGCCTCATATAGGATCCGCTTCCATGTCGCTAGTCGAATATAACGCTTTGCATTCCTGCATCATCTTTAAACTTAACTTCTTCTTCTAACACACAATTTTGGTATTTATAATATCTAATAATTTGAATTTATAATATCTAATAATCTGCAGATAAACTAGTTATCTGCCGTCAAATGTCAAAATCGGGAAATTGGAGTTTTCTTTTGTCCCTTTTAGCATGTACATTACTTACTTGCTAAGATGGCTTGTGACAGAACGTTTGTTCCAGAAGTTGAACTTAAAAAAGATCTCCAGGCGCGTCGGTATTATGTGCAGATCGTCCAATTTGAAAGACCCTGTTACGAGATCTTTCCATCGAATTCGTGGCCTTCCCTTTCTGCGTAACCCATCACTGGGTTCCCTTTTATATGCCTTTTTAGCTGGGGCATCCTCATCCATTCTCATAACATGACCTAGCCAACTTAGTCGCTGTAGGTCGGTGTCCGAGAATAGATGGTACAGCTCATGGTTCACTCGTTGCAATCCGACGCAGATCGGTCTATTGATCTTCCGGAGAATTTTTTCTCTCAAACACTCCAAGATCTGCCTCATCTGCTAGCGCAAGTACCCACGCTTCAGATCCATACAACTTTAGGGCTAATGAGGATATATACACATGGATACGTTAAAAAAATTGGGTTTAGATCCAATCGAAATATTGGTTTTAGACCCCATGTTGTTTTGGGCCAAATTCGTTTCAGACAATTTCAAGTCGATTTTTTTTAAATCAAATATTATCTCCGAAAATGGGAGCGATCAGGCCACACCTTCTGGTACCTTCCCCAAACATTTAAACATATATTTCTATAGAGCGACCTCTTCACAGATGGTCAACTATTTGACAATAAACATATACATTAAAAAAGCGAATGATAAAACCAGTGTGTAGTAAATCCGTAGACTTCCGCAAACCATCGGCAACGCCGACTGGCACTTTTATACTTGTTCATTAAGCAGAAATATTCGAAACATTTCATTTGAAGTAGTTTGTATTCGGAAATATTATATTTATAACTTTAAAACTATTATTGTACAAATCAAAATTCGACTTATTTAATTTGTAATTCAAATAATCGTACTTGAATTTGATTGGAATTACAATTATAATAATTTCTAACATAAATTTTCGAATTACAAATATACTATTTTTAATTATCAATGGAATATTCGAATTACTATTAATTTTTTTTTTGAAATTCAAATGGAATTATCGACTTACAAATGAATTTTGGATTGAGTTTGAATTGAGTGTGAAAAAATGTATATTTGTCGTGAGACAAATTATCGTCACGAATCGCGAATCCTCACATCTATATGACAGTACCGTATTTTATCATATATATTGACTGTTGTCGAGAATTATTTTAAAATAATATAAATTAATAATAATATTGAAGCATAAACCTTTGTTTATTTGTTTTATGTTTAGTTATTAAAACACATTAAAAATTGATGTAAATTATCCAAACTATTGTTGTTGTTAACTGTTATTGCTTTTGCTGTTGTTTTTGTTCTTGTTGTCACGCATTGTTTACCTTGGAAAATGTCAGACAATAACCCAATTGAAAGCTGTTAAAATTGAATTTCACTTTTGTTTGTAATATTTACTTAATTTAGTAATTAAATGTATCTGCGAAGCGTGTCAAATATCAAATTATGTTTTTCAATTATTCAATTCGTAAATGTGAATAACGACGACATACATACGCATACATTTTTGGTATATGCATATGAAAATTTCATTTGAAGTGAAATAAGTATAGTATGTGTGTGGGTGTGTATGCCTTATTACAAATATAAATTCCATTCATAATTAATTCAAGTTTTAGAAGGCAATTGCATAGATTTACTTATTACAATAGGGTGTGTCGGAGGAGTCACCAATAGTGACCAATATATTTTACGAAGTCTAATATCCATGAATATTTTTGTACTCAAATTCTCGTTTAGTCCTTCATCTCGGTAGTAAATCCCCATCTTCAGTTTATTTCCTGAATGTCGATAGGAATCAATCGTGCTAAAAAACCGTTGACATCAGCGGATACTTTTCAATCTACCTTGTCGCTCGATGTGCATCTCTCCCGCATATATACACATTTTTTCAACTGAATCCGCATTTATACTTAAGCATCCGTTATAGAAGTTGATCTCCTCCATGGATATTTTCCTTTTTTCCGATGGTGGCGGCTTCCGTGCGACATGTTTGTGAGACAATAAAATATCATCGTCCTAGGACCTGCAGTAACCGAGATAATTCCTAAGAATGATAGGTGGTAATGATTTTCACTTTTTCTTCTGTATCAAAATTTAGTGCCCACTACTGTTACCACTAACAAAAACAACAACGAGTGGCACGCTTGACTCAAATTAAATGCTGCGTTTAATTGTTTTAATTTAAAGTAATTTTTTAATACAATTATAATTGGTTAGCGTGTGTGTGTGTCTATTCACAGAGAACGTGAGAGAGAAGTAATCGTACTAAATCTGCTATGCTCCAAATGAATGCATGAAATCCGCAATGTCGTATTTTATGTAAAAACATATTTCGAATCCTATAGTATAATATTTTTGAAACTATAAATAAATTCTTCTTCAATCACAATAAAATCTGAATAGAATTGGAATAATTGAAGAATTACTGGAACGTGTATTAAAAAAATAAAAACAAGAACTTGACGAGTGTAGCAGGCGATAAGTATTAAGCACAGTTTGTTGTTAATGTCGTGATTTTGAGAATAAATGAAGTAAAGAAAACATTTGTTTCCTAGTCCGATAAAGATTCCTTTAGAGATAAAATTTTATGAGGTATTTTTGGTAATAATACATATGTCATTTATGTCATTGTGCAAATATTGAAAATGCTGAGTATTTTTTTATTGTGACAGACAAGACTTCCGACAATTTATAGTCGATTTACAAAAACACACGATGAGTCTCGAAGGAAGAAATCGATATATTTTGATATCTTCCTTATAAAATGTGAACGGAGTAATAAAGGCTTAATATATATGCACTATAAAACTACATTGTAAGGTTATAATAGGTTTGTGTGCCCCACACGAGTTTGAAACGCCGCGAAATATTAGATCCACTGTCAAATGGTGGTCAAATGTCAAATGGAACCAAAATTTTGTGTGAAAAATGTACAACATTGCATCCTATGGAATATATACAGTATATCCAAAAGGAATGGTAGAACTTTAAATATATGTATCAATTATATTTATATATGTATGTACACAGAAAATGGAATATATTCACATGTTTTTAAGGTGTCTACGTATTCTAATATTATTTAGTATTACCATTAGCACACCAGCGGTTACAAATATAGCGAAATATTTCCCAGGCTCGGAATATAGAGTCGCAGAAAGTTTAGTGGTAGGGTATCATATGGTCGGCCCTGCACCGCTCACTGGTTTTTAATATAAGACTTATAGATCCATTGCTTATAATACCTACCTATTGTTCGATTCAATCCAAACTTTGCACATCGTAGTATTATATCCGAAAATGGTATCCAACGCTCCACTATGGTATCTCCCCACAAATTGTCATTTTGAAAATTTTTAAAACCCAATTTTCAAGCTTTAATCTAAGCTGTGAATACAGTAGTATTTTTACCAATTCTAAATCAAGTGCCCCATGGGCCAACTTCTTCTGGTACCTTCCCCTCAAACGGCCAACATTTTAAATCCGATCTTGTCCCTCTGACTGTCTTTGGAATATAGAATTAGTATTTTTAACCGATGTGGGAGAAATATTGAGGCTTCTTTTATTGATTCAAACTTTGAACATCGTAATATTCTAGCAAGTCCGGAGATTCTAAATTAGGTCCGGAGATGTTAGCCAACCAATAGTCCACTCCCTGTGGCACCTCCCGCACAAATTGACCGAATTTTGAAAATGTTCAAATCCAATATCAAACTTTGAACATCGTAGTAGTTTTATTAACTCTAAATCAAGATCGAGGATTTTACCCATTCCTTTAGTAACTCAAAATTTTAAAAACTTATAAATTTCATATGAAGCAAATGGGGCATTCCCATACCATTGCACATCGTAATAATGTTACCCGAATCTACTTAAAATCCGTAGATGGAGTCTATAGCGCAACTTCTGCTGGTACCTCCCATACATTGCCGAGTTGATAAATACGAGTACATATAAATTATATAAAACGAATGGTGAATTCTGTGTGGCCTAAAATTGGTCTACCCTTATAAAACTATATAAGTTCGGTCCGAGGTTAAATCCACATGTTGGCCCAAATGTACCGCCCTATTTTTAATGTTTTTAAAATTTACGCTGCATTTTCCAAGCGAATAATGAAAATTAGTATTTGAAATTTGATATTTTTGATATTTTCTATTAGTTTTGCCTTATTTTAGGTACTTTATGGCCCTAGGCACATTTTCCCACTGAAGCGGATGTAATTGATGTACTAAGTTTCTTGATGGGTAAACATTCTTTGAAGAAAAGTTTCCATAAAGGTTTATGTTTTGAAATAAAGCCCACCCAAAAACTTCGGATCCGCCCAGCTGTACGGATGCAAATATGTCAACTTGAACTTTTCTTGCGTGGAAAACCTCCTTGCTAATATTATTACCATAGGTCACGATGACTGCATCGCTGAAAGAAAAAATAATCATAAGTTAAACTCTGCAAAGAAAATAATTTATTCAATTTAAATATTATCAGGTCATCAGTATAAGGTCAACGAGAGCTAATCTCAGTTGATAGAATGCCTACGAGGGGTGGTATGGAAAATTTAACAAAATTTGCCGACAGATATTTACCACCAGCCTATGGTTTGCGGAGGTCTTCGGAATTACACACAGGTTTTATTATTCACTTTATATGTTTCTATCAAAGAGGTTTCGGATTTAATGTTGATCAAATCGGCTATTCAATTCACTTCAAATTAAATTTACAAGTTTATAAAATATTGACCCTTTGTGGCAAAAAAATAAAAAATGAAATTAAAAATTTTATATCGTATCGAAGCGAAAGGTCCCTTTAACTGCTAGCTTTTTCAAAAACTTTTTTAATTTAATTAAAAGACTCTCTTCAGGGTATTTTTTTTCCAAATTTCCATAAGACCCTCCAAATTTGTTATTGTTTTGTCACACATGGTTATTTTGTTTTGGAAGCGCAATAATTATCACTGTCATCATCATGATCGACCATAATCTACATACTGCTAACAAGTCGTCCCACTTACTTTCCCCAACCAACCAATCTGCCATCCAGCCAGCCAAACACAAACAAACATTAGCCGCAGCCACTATCTGCAGTCACTAGCTGAGATTTTATAGAGAACAGACCTAATTTTGTCAAGCGGAAGAATAAATTCAAATTTTGTTGGTGGTTAATAAAAAAACAAAAATAATTTCAATTATCATAACCAAAACAGCTATGTGGTCATTTAAAACATTTCAATTTGCTTTTTTTGTGGCTATAATTTTGATAGCTACCAACAACCTGGTGAAGGCTGACACTAAAGCATTGGTCAATACTCCGGCTGCCAAAGGTAAATAAAATACTTTTGCATTTCAAATAAAATCAATAACGTGTTCTTAACTTCAAGAAAAAGATCCGAAATGTTTGCTACCCATGGAACCGGGTCCATGCCGTATGCGTTTGGAACGTTATTATTACAATGCCGAAACTGATTCCTGTGAAACATTTATTTTCGGAGGCTGTCGTGGAAATGCCAACGCGTTCGGCTTCAAAGAAACCTGTGAAGCGGCTTGTAAATCCCCATTGGTTTCCAAGAAAATGAAACCATCCACATTGAAATCCCTTACAACTTCCACCGTTCCCATTACGGAGAAGCCAACAGTGGCCACAACTGCGTCGTCAACGAAAGTGGTTACTACAGCCAAAGCACAGGTTGCCATTAAGAAGTAAACACGGAGAACATGTGAGGGGATTTCCTGTGAATTGAAGATTTTTTTTCGAATCTTTTTTCATCGAAATATTTGTCACACGCTTTAAAATAAATTAGTAAAATAAACAGCGTTGGGGTAATTCTATTTTTGTTGTTATGGCCAACCGACTGACTGGCGATTCGGTCGTAACGCCATGAATCATAATTGTTTACCTCCATTGCTTTGATTTTGGTCGCCAAGCTTTTATCGTTTTTTTTTGTTCGATGGCATCGTGCGAAAATTCGTGCTCGTAACTGGGTAGAGTTGATTGAACGTTTTGAAGAAACGTCCCTCATTAAATATACGATATTATTATTATTTTGTCGGAATAGCATATTTAAATTCGTATTATGGGTTTGACTACCCATTAACCAGAAACGTGACTTATTAGGCGGGGTATTAATGTTGATTATGATGAAAGGAGAGGAGGAGATGGCAAGAAGTAGGATTTTGTTATAGAAGTCTAGAAATTTGTTACTATAGATAAAATGAAGTTTCAGAACTTCTATATATGAGCTAAATAGTGGGTATTTAGACGAGCTGAATGGTATGAGTTCCAGATTCTACTATAAATGAGGTGAAGCGAGTCTCTATAAATGAGATGAAGGAAGAATTTATGTGAGAAAAGCTACATAGAGTATTTATATATGATCCTCTAGAGATGAGTTGAGGCTCCCTTAAAATTCCAAGACTCCAGCTCTATCGGTTTACCTAAATCCAAAATATCAAATTTAGTACAATTTAGTACACATACACATTTCCATTACTAGCTACATCATGTAATCCAATGGAGATCTTATTACCCAATTTCAGGATTCTAGCTCTATCGGTGCAATCTAAATCCAAACTTCATACATATCGCAATCTAACACCCCTACAGCGACCCTAACTCCAAATGCCAAAATTCCAGCTCTATCAGTTTATCTAAATCCAAATTTGGTAACATTTAGTACACATTAGTACGATTCTGAAAAACATTCTGCATAGTCCAATCCTACAGTCCAACAGTGATCCTAATCTCAAATTTCAAGATTCCAGCTCCATCGGTTCACCTAAAACAAAATTTGGTACCATTTAGCACAAATTTTCAAATATTCCTACATACCCAATGCTACAACCCCAACAATGACCTAACTTCAAATTTCAAAATCCCAGTTCTATCAGTTCATCCAAAATTCAAACTGTATCAAATTTAGTACAATTTAGAATCCATAAGTATGAATTTCCAAAACTATATCCATACCCCAATGATACACTCCAACACTAATCTTATTTCCAAATTTTAGTGCTCCAGCTCTATCGTTCCACTCAAATCCATATTTGGTACCATTATGTACATATTAGTTCAAGTTTCTAAAATTGTCTACATATCCCAATCCTACACCCCAACAGTGACCCTAACTCCAAATTTCAGGATTCCAGCTCTGTTGTACCAAATTTAGTACACTTCAGTATAAATTCACAAACTTTCCACAGAACCCAATCTTACACCCCATCAGTGATGCTAACGTCAAATTTTAAGATTCCAGCTCAATTGGTCCACCCAAATTCACATTTGGCACCATTTAGTACAAATTTCCAATATGTCAAGATTCCAGCTCTATCGGTTCATCCAAATTCAAATTTGGTACATTAGTACGAATTTACTACATACACCAATCCCACTCCTCAACAATGATCCTAACTCCAAATTTCAGGTTCCCAAATCTATTGGTTCAACCAAATCCAAATTTTACCAATTATAGTACGATTTTGTACTTTTCGTACACATAAGAACAAAATTTCCAAAACTACCTACATATTCTAATCCTACTCACCGGCGGTAATTTTAATTTCAATTTTCAGTATTTCAGCTCCATTTGTACCTCCAAATTAAATGTGTACCAAATATAGTACCATATAGTACTTTTCGTACACATGAGTACACGCTTTCAAAGCCATCTCCTTATATCGACCAGAGCTCCGATTTGCTCGATTTTACTCGCGAGTGAAAAATACTCCCGAGCGGGAGTAAGTAAAGAGTACGAGTTTTTTAGGGAGTATACTCTCCACTCTTTTATTTTGTTTGGAAGTGCTCGCGAGTACTCCTTGTTGAAGAAAAAGAGTGTGAGAGAAAACGTTGAGTAAGAGTTCACTCTAAGAGTGAAATCGAGTGGACAAATAAATTTGGTTGTTTGGTTATTTGTGTGTGTGTAGTACCAATTTATTTTTTTTGATTTTGATCTTTTGTTTGCTGTGGGGAGATAGATCATTACAAAAATGAAATGACTTACATAAAGAGAACGCAGAAAACGAGCTTGTTGATGCATGCTTTCCCAGCAATACTGCAAACCAAACATCACAAAACAAACAAACAATGCACACAAACAACATCAAGTAAAGCAACGGTATCACAAAAAAAAAAAAAAAAATAATAATAATAATAATAAAAGAGTACTCGGCAAGAGTGTAATCTGCTCGATTTCGAGCGTATTTCACTCCCACTCGAAAACGAGCGAAGCACCTCCGCTCTTATTTGAGTGGCAGAGAAAAATAGAGTAAACTCTATTTACTTTTTCTACTCCCGCTCGAATTCGAGCGATTTTCACTCTTTATTCGAATTCGAGCGAGCATTTCGGAGCTCTGATATCGACCCTACTTCTCAACCCTAATTCGCATTCAAAATTTGAAGTTTTTAGCTCTTTGCACTCACATGCTACGAAATGTACCAAATTTAGTACTTTTCGGATACTTATAGTTCGAATTTCCAAAAAAATCATTTTCTACATCTATTCTACAATCCATCAGTGATTGGCATTTCAAATTTAAGAGTTCTAGCTCTTCCGGTTCTGCAAATACAAATGCTACCACATTTAGTACTTTTCGTACCGTTCTAGTACAAATTTCCAAATACTCAGACTTATCTGTCACCATTGGACAAAGAGTGGTCCTCACCCAAAATTTCAAGATTCTGGCTTAAGCCGTTTCGTCTGGGAGTTGATGAATCGTTAAGCCAGTTACTTTAGTCTTTCATTAGCATAGATAAGAATAACCTCAGGCGGATACCCCTTCCAATCCGGAAGTTAACTACGCCTCTGACCATTATCGAACACCTGATTGGCAACAAGAAACTTACCCAAAGCAAAAAAAAAAAATATTCTAAGCCATTTAGCTTAGCCGATTAATATTCTAGGCAGATTACTTCCCGAATGCGTTCTCGTTCGCTGACGCCACAAAGTCACTTATCGTCCCCCATCATCATCTACAACAACAATGCTAATCAAACATAGTTAGCCGAGAGACGTGCTAAATGGAATTATGATTTTCTCTTCGTTGCTTGACATTATGCAAATTTGATACATACGACGAGTACTCTTAAAAAGTAAATAAACAGAAAAAATCCAAAATATTGTCGAAAAATCCCAAAACCTAAAATTAAGGCTGGCAAAGCTTCATCATCTTCATCGTCATACGGGCCTAACTACCAATCCATTCATTGTTGATTTTAGTTATTAACAATTTGAGTGAGCTTCGAAACGCGTTAAGTAAATGACTATTTAATGTGGTTCGATTGCGAACGTTAATCACATTTCGTCTTCAGCATTCCTCAGAGAAACTTCTCCAGAGCGCCAGTTTTTTTTCTGTTTTTACCAATCGGATAAAAATGAAATCGTTTGTCTGTGTATTGTTGTGCTCCTGCTTGGTGGCCGGTATTTATGCTGCCGCCGTGGAACCCGTGGTCGAGGAAGTGAAAACCGATGTGAAACCAACTGATGCTGTTACACCAGCCCCCGAAGCGGATATGGTGATCGACGAAGATTGCCACCAACCCAAGGAAACTGGCCGCTGTTTTGCCCTGTTCTATCGTTTCGCCTTCGATGTTGAGAAACGTGAATGTGTCGAATTCATTTATGGCGGTTGTGCCGGTAACTCCAATAATTTCGAAACCAAAGAAGATTGTGAAAAGAAATGCATGAAGAAAGCTGTAGATGTGAAAGAAGAAATGAAGGCTGAAGAGAAAACTGATGCTGTAACAAATGTTCTACCCGAAGTTGCTAAGGAAGAACCTACCACAGCTGATTCGAATGTCAACAGCACTGAAAAAATTGCTACAACAGAATCATCGTAAAGTGATTGTGGGTGGGACTGGAACCCACTTAAAGTATTAGATTGTTGTACTTAGCTTTCATAGATCATGCTGATATAGCTCATCTATCGGACATGAATTTGTCTTTGTTACCTGTTAAGTGAATTTAAATTGTTATTTTTTAAGTTTTTAATAAAAAAATAGAAATATTTACAAAAAATTGAATTTAATTTTTGGGACAACATATTTGAGAGCTAAAATTTTAAGTTTAATAGTCACTACGTTTTTATTAAAATGACGTTCTCTAGAAATCATTCCAAAGCTGTAATAATAGATGGCCAGGAGCTGCCTTTTTAGACTGCTGAGCTGAGGAACTGAAATTAATTTTTCGTGGAATAGAATTCTCAGAAGGGCTTCCTATAGACGTTCTGAGAGTAGTTTTTGTTTAAAGACGAACACATTAAGGTTTTTATACCCTCAGCTTTATGGCTAATTAGGGTATATACACTTTGAAACTGTAAAAATGTGTCTCGTCGAAATATTGGTTTCAGACCCCATGTTTCTTTGGACCAAATCCGTTTAAGACAATTTGGAGTCGATTTACATATGTCCGTTTGTTTTTCCGGCTGGTGTGCAAAATAACTCTCGAAGCGAATAATCGATGTGAGTGAGTGACTGATAGATCGTCGACCAGACGAAACGGCAGAAGCTGGAAGCTTGAAATTTTGATAATATTGCTGGGTTATTGGAAATCCGATCTAGAAGGGTACGAAATGTTCTAAATATGGTGCCCCTTGTATTAGGCAAATGGGAAGTACTAGAATTCTGAAATTTGGAATATCGGCCACTGATGGAAAGATATATATATATATATATATATGAATTGGATATATATATAGCTAGAATCTAGAAATTTTATATGAACTATTAAATGTACCAAATGGTACTAAATTTGGTACAATTTAGATTTGAGTGAACGTATAGAGATGGAAAACTTATATTTGGAATTAATATTACTGTTAGAGTACAGAATTGAGGTGGTGCTGGAAATTCGAACTTTTAAAAACTAAATGGTACTATATATATTACAATTTGGATCTATGTGAACGCATACGGACCCTGGCATTTATTATTAAAGTTGCTTATGGAAAATCGTAGTTACGTCTACGAAAAGTAATAAATTGTAATAAAATTGGTACAATTTGGATGTTGGTGAAAGGATAGAGTACAAAATTTGATACAAATCGGACTTTGGTAAACGGGTCGAACTGTAATCCTGAAAGTTGCAACTAAAATTACTGTCGGAGTGTAGGATCGAGGTAGTTTTGGAAAAGTACAGAAGGTACCAAATCTGGTATAATTTGGATTTTGGTGCACATTTAGAGCTGGATTGAGGAAGTTTTGGAAATTGCTACTTATGAGTACGAATGTAGTAAATTTGGTACAATTTGGATGTTGGTGAAATTAACATTATTGTTAGAATGTTTGATGTAGTTAAGGAAATTCTTACTTATGAGTATGCAAAGTACTAACTGGTACTAAATTTAGTGAAATTAGAAGTACGATTGATATATGGAGGTAGTCTTGAAAAGGTGTACTTACGTCTTAGAAATGTTCTGAATGGATCTAAATGTTGAACCTGTAGGTATTTGCTAAAATATGTAATTGGAATTTTGATAATTTTCGTATTTGTATAATGGAAATATGAAAGAGATTTGAGAAATTAGAGCTTATGTGTATGAAGAGTACTAATTGGTAATGAACTGGATATTAGATATAGGAATAGTGATGAAATTCGGAATTATTGTTATAATACAACAAATTATACGGTATTCCCGATTTCCATATATACTTGTATTTGTATTCCCTTTCCGCATACGAAGTAGTGGACACTTCGCTAGTACCTTATATAAAGCGAATAACAAAAGATTTATGTAATTCCGAAGAATATATCTGTCGGCAACATTGACTGATACTTTTTTACTTTTTCATACACATGCTGCGGTAAATCTTCTATAGACGAGGCAAAGGGAGTCATTCATAGACGTTCTGAAGGGAGTATTTTATAGATGTGCTGAAGATATTTTATAGACAAACTGTGTAGACGAATTGAGAAACGTCTTCAGAAGATTTGAACGTGCCTTCTTTATACGATCTGAAGGTAGCCTCATATAGACGAGCTTCTACTATAGTCTGAATGGTCATTTATTTATGAGCTTACGGTAGCATCTATAGAGTAGCCTAAGGTATATGACTTCTGTAGACAAGCTGATGGTAGCATCTGTAGATGAGCTGAACGAAGTTCATACATATGAGCTGAAGGGAGCCTCTGTAGACAAGGTGAAAGAAGTTTGTAGATGAGCTGAATAGGTTCTCTGTAGTGAGAGCAGTCTTCTAGTTAATGGGAGTCTCCTGTGTTCGCAGATGAGCTGAGAGTATACTTTCTTTGACGTCTTGAATCTGAAAAGAAATTTCCTAGAACAAGCTGATGGTAGCATCTGCAGACGAAGCGAGCCCCTATAGACGATGTGAAAGGGAGTCTCTGTAGATGAACTGAAGAGAGTATGTGCAAACGTACTGAAGGGAGTCTATGAAGACGAGCTGAGAGAAGTTTCTGTAGACGAGTTGAGAGGAGTCTCCTCAGACGAGCCTAAGTGAAAGCAGTCTTCTAGTTGATGGAAGTCTACTGTGTCCATAGAAAAGCTGAGGAGTATGATTTCATTGACGTCTTGAATCTGAAAAGAAATTTCCTAGGTAGTTTCTACAGACGAGCTGTAGGAAGTATCTATAGATGAGGTGAAAGGAGTCTCTGTTGATGAGCTGGAGAGAGTCTTTGTAGACGTACTGAAGGGAGTCTTCTGTACACGATCTGGAATGGAATCAATTTTATGGGGGCATTTTGGAAACCATTGGAAATTATTTCAATGCAGATTTTTCGGAAGAAATGTTTATATTATTTAGGTACACTAAGTGCCTAAATAATATAAAATTTCAATTGATATCATCATGTAATTTATTTATTTTAACACCAACGTGTAAAATATAGCAACCACATAGAAAAAAAGTATCAAGAGTGAAGGTGTTAAAACAATTTACTAAAATTGTTTTTATTTGTTTATTTTATTTAAACAAAAAAAGTACTTTTTTATATTAAATGTAAATGCTTTAAGATTTAATGGATTGCATTACGAAGAAGGTTTAAAAATGGCATTCCCTTCCAGGGATATTTCCTACTGGTGTTTGAGATTATGTGTCACAATGAGAGTTTCTTAATATTTACACATCCATATGCAACTCTTTCCGAATTGCAGTTTATGCTTCCTTTCTTCAAGGTAGCGATCAACAATTTGTTACACATTCTTATCAGCGGTTCACATTTTGTTTGATTATTGCAAATAGTTTGCATCGTAGTAGTAATTATCTGCTACTTGCTGAATAATGTTAACAGCTCAATACAGAGAAAAAAAAAACAACAATTGATAAATATAAACTTAAACAATTTATAAAACTTATTTTTTTTATTAGATTTTGGATTGTACTGTAAAATATCTTAAAGATTCCAACTCCCTTGGAACTATCAACAATATTATTTGCTAATACTAACCGAGTTATTAACTATCTTTTTTTCTCCGTGTATTTTTGAAATTACATTTGTTATTTGTTTTTTTTGCATTTTTTATTCATTATTTTTACCCACAACCCATTTGAGGAGTATTTAAAACATCAGTTGAAATTTAAATGCTGACAAAGTCACTTGTTTGATTCGGTTAACGATGCAAAAAATATTCGCTTTATTCTTGACTATATTAGTCATGTCGGCAACGACCTTTGCTCTTAAAGATCGTAAGTATAGTTGAGACGCACACGATTTGCCGATATACTGAGAGATGGAATATTGTTGTTGTTGTTATTTCATTTGTAATTATAGCCATTTGTGGTTTACCACATTCCCAGGACGGTGACAATGATCTTCAATGTCGTGGCAGATTCCCCTCATTTACTTATAATGCTGAGGCCAAGGAATGTATCGATTTTATTTATGGCGGTTGTGGGGGCAACGAAAATCGTTTCTCATCGAAAGAACAGTGCGAGGAAAAGTGCAAAGAATAAGGGTGGAAATATTAAAAAAAACATGTTTACAATAAATACGTACGTAAATAAAATAAAAAATAAATTTTGAAATTAATGGAGGTTTGTTGATGTGATAAGTACGACTATTGTTATTCCCACATATAAAATGAAGGTTTACATTAATATGTAGAGGAGAATGTTTACATGTGTTATGATTTTAAGAAGTGTTGATTTAATAGAGACGCCTAAAAATATACTATAATTTGAATAATTTAACATTTTGCATTTTAATTGTGTTATGCAGCAATAACATACACTGGACAACAAAAATAAATTATTAATATGTTATATGTATATGCTTCTCATGTTTATAATCATCATTTACAATAATATAGTTCCGACAACAGTTTGGAGCAGAAAAGTTATGAATTTTATATGGTTTTTAATAAAGTAAATGTAATTTCCATACAATTAGAGATGACCGTATAGATGAGGTCAGAATATCAATTAGACGGCAGAAGAATAATAAAGTAGTAGGTGCCGATGGTTTACCAGCCGAACTAAAAACTGGTGGTCAGATGCTGATCAGGAGCATGCACCAAATGATTAGCACAATTTACCTAGAGGAATGCATGCCCAATAATTGAGCATCATGTTTTAAAGTCATTTTTGCGTGGCAAACGCAGAGAAGGCTCCTTCAATACCGAACGAGAATTCAGACAAGGTAAAAGTTTGTCCTGTTTAACAGGTGACCTGTTTAACAGGTCATATGAGATGAAAATGTGAACTGAAATGACATTATGTATGCATATGTTACTCGTTTATGCCGACGACATCGACATAATCGCCCAAACATTGCAAGCGGTAACAACCACTTTTGAACGAATTGAGAAGGAGTCCACCAATGTGGAACTGACAGTACGTGGCGAGAAGTTCAAGTCAACAGGTGCTACTATTGTCTGAGTAAGCATGTCAAAAACAAAGCCGTCTCTCGCCAGACCAAATTCACACTCTACAAGATGCTGATACTATTATATGGATCTGAAGCAAGGGTACTTACGCAAGCAGATGAGGCAGATCTTGGAGTGTTTGAGAGAAAAATTCTCCGAAAGATCTATGAGCCGATCTGCGTCGATGGTGAAAATCACCGTGGAAGGAATCATAATATATTCTCGGACATCGGTATAGTCAAACGTATCGAGCTGCAGCGAGTTAGTTAGGGCATGTTGTACGAATGGATGAGGATGCCCCAGCACAAAAGGCATATAAAAGCGAGTCAACTGATGTTTTCATGTAGAAGGAGAACGCCACGAATCCCATGTAGAAATCAATTGGAAGACAAAATTTCGGGACATGGTCTCTAAAATGGGAAGAGCTGCGCACAAGGCCGACGCGCCTGGAAATCTTTATGTAACAAATGGACTTAAACCACTTTCAAGAATGGAAGTCTACAGAAATAACATATATCTTGGATTTGGGGTTTAACTCAACATCTTTAAATAATGGGAATGTAGGTCCAATGGTCCATATTTATGATAAATCGTATCGATTTTTATCAATATTAATTTGTTAACTTATGTATGCACATATGCAAAGTCGATTTTTTTTTAATTTATTTTATGATAATACATATTCAATCTTTTCAATTATAACTTTTTTGGAGTTACATGTGATTTTTTTCCATTTTACGACTAAATATTCCATTGAATTCAGGTAAACTTCTGGTCAGCTGGACCAAATAGTAGACGTTTTATTTTTTGTTTAATCAAAAATTTTCAAATAATCAAGGGAAAAACCAATTGATAAGCGCGGCCATATTAATATTTAAAACACACTTCGCACAGACATTGAAACGTAATTTCAAATTTGTTTCTAAATAAATTTGATAAAGAAACTCTAAAAAACATACTGTAATCTATGTATGTCAATCAAGGTTATTGCATAGTCATACGTATAATTTTAATCTCAATTCAAGAACATAAAATTAAATTCTAGGTTTCCGCCAAAACCAAGCTCTAATTTCAAATATATTTAGAGCGTACATGAATATTTCCAAATTAGTTTCAATTTGTATTTCAAACAAATAGTTTCACCAAAAAAATAAAAAATCATGAAATTCTTCGCTGTATTTTTGGCTATTTTCGCCCTCATCTCCAGCAGTTTTGCTTTGAAGGATGGTAAGTTATAGTGTGACTTGTTTTATTGTTATCCTGGAAGAAGAAGTGTTTTGCTAATGATGTGTTTTATTTTGTGCACAGCTATCTGCGCCCAACCCCACTCCAAGAACGGCAATGGTGTTATGGCCTGCCTGGGCTACATGCCATCCTGGTCCTACAACGTTGAAACCAATGAATGCGTTGAATTCATCTATGGCGGCTGCATGGGCAATGACAATCGTTTCGATACCAAGGAACTTTGCGAAAAGAAATGCAAAGAATAAATGCAATATGTGATACTAATGTGTAGTTAAATAAAGGTTAATGTTAGTGATTTGAAAAACAAATGTGAATTATTTTTTTATTGTGGGAATCGAAAGTAATTGAATTGAAGTTGAATATTTAAAGTGTGGAAAAAATGTTGTTTCCAAAATTGAAGAAAATCGAAGGTGAAGAATATTGGACCACTTTTTCTGGTACAGCTCCATCCATTAAATGGTCAATTGCTTTTCTTATTATTGAAGAAAATCGTATCGGATGCTAACGGCGGCAAAAGGGAGGAATGAAACTGGTCGTTATAAGACATCGAATAAAGCGAAGACAATTTTCGCGACTTTTAGATACAGTCACAATAATCAATATGTTGTTAAGACGGTGTTATAAACGACTTGTATGTATATAAACCGAGTTTTATCATGTCCGAAAATAGATCTTACAGAGGGTCAACAATTTGAAAACATGTTAATCTCAAATCAAACGAAGGGATTACGCAACAAAATAGTGATCAGTTTCCCCGGTAAGAAATTTTAAAACGTCGAAACCTCCTATAAAGCATATTGCGAATCCGATTCTGCCCAAGTAGGACTGGCAGTAATGGTGAGAAGACCAAGCTGATGGTATCAACGTCCAAGATGTCCAGTAGACTCGGACCAACTGTGGAATTTGAACTGTGGAATTATCTTCGAGGTAGTGAGTGATTTTATATACCTCGGTACCGCCATAAACAAACCTAATAACTTCATCTTTGTTATCTGGAGAAGAATAGTGTTGGTCCCGGATGCTACTATGGTGTGGGTAAGCAATTCAAAAACAAGGTCACCTCTCGCCAGATCAAACTCAACCCTCTACAAGACACTCATACTACCTGCGCTGATGTATGGATCTGCAGCATGGGTATTTGCGCAATCAGATGAGGCAGCTCTTGGAGTGTTTGAGATAACAATTTTCCGGAAGATCTATGGGCCATCTATTCTCGGACATCCACATAGACTTATCGAGCTGACTATGGTGCGTTAGGTCATGTTGTGAGGATGCGCCGCTCAAACGGCAAATAAACACGAATTCGATGGAAAGATCATGTGGAATACAACATCTGGAAACATGGTCTTTCAAATTGGGTGAGCTGTGATGATTTATCATAAAAATCCTTTCTTTACTATGTTAAACATAATTTTACCGGAAACGATTTTTTCAATAATAAAATGGAATTTTCCATAAATAATTTGTTTCTCACACAAGAACTGCCCAACACAGATTGTGACGTATTATTTATTTCTAATATCCCAAAGCATGACTTTGCAAGTTTTGCACTACGATATGTTTTGTCAAATAAATTTGAATATTTCAAAACAAAGTTGAACCCCCCATCATCTCTAAAGCGTGTAATTCATTCAAAAAAGCTACGCATGCTAAGCAAAGCCACCTTGGTAAATCTCACAAAACGAAATTATGTATGATTACGACCTGAAGATGCTTAACTTTTATATATATTCACTGGATAAACAAATTTTCAAATTAGTTCCAATTTGTATTTCCAACAAATAGTTTCACAAAAAAATCAAAATTTTGAAAATGAAATTCTTCGCTGTAGTTTTGGCAATTTTTGTGGCCCTCATCTCGAACAGCATTGCTTTGAAGGATGGTAAGAAAATAATTCGATATATTTAATATACTTCTTTTTAATTTCATTTCCTGTTCATCGTTTGATAGCATCTTGCAGTCAATCGCTGGCTAAAAATGGTGACGGTGTCGTCGCCTGTTTGGGTCTCATCAAATCCTGGTCCTACAATGTGGAAACAAATGAATGCGTGGAATTTGTTTATGGCGGCTGCATGGGCAATGACAATCGTTTCGAAACCAAAGAACTTTGCGAAAAGAAATGCAAAGAATAAATGGAATATGTGGCTGAGCCATTGGTGTTGGGAAGTTTAATAAATGTACATTTAAATTTAAATGTACCAAAAAATAAAAGACTTTAAATATTTTTTTTAGAAGTCAAAAAGAGATTTTTTATTGAAAGAATTTAAAAAAGAAATATTGTATTTCAAAATTCACTCATTTTTTAATTCATTTTTTTGTCCGTTTTTTTATGAATTCTAAAACTTTGTAAATTTTATAGCAGATGACTTTATTCTTTGAGAAAATGAAGTATAAAATTACAGATACATGAGTTTGAAAATTCGGTTAGGGTGGGACCATGCAATGGTTAAATAAAAAAAGGGCCTGTGGCCAAAATACTCATTCATAGTCCTTTTTGGAAAGTGCGGCTATAAACTTGAATATATCGAATTTAGGCAGGATGTTTATATTGGAACTTTTTAAACGTCGAAAACGTCATATACCTCTATAAAAAGCAATAAATGTAGTAAACGTAATTTATTTGAATAATAAAGTTATTTTCAAGAATACAGAATATTTTTAAATTAAAGACCTTGCAGGTGCATAGGGTTTTTTCTATGTCCCGGATAATATATGTATATCGATTTCTATATTATCTTCTGTGAACCTTTACAATATAATTTTTTTCCGCAATATCTCTTATCACACCGCCATGGAAGTAATATTCACAGTTTAACTCTTCGATTTGAAGAAATTGACGACAATGTATGTTCCTTTGTTATCCAGGCAGTCTACAATTTTTTTCTAATTGTCACTTGAAAATTTTCGAATTATTTGTAACATGTGTACGAAACAAAACAAAAACAATATGAATCACTTTACCCGGTAACAAACAAAATTGAATGGAATGGCATTTTGAGTGAAGCCTTATCTGCCAAACTGGGAGAGGGCATCTTAACATGCAATATTGAAGTATTGTCTGGGAATTTTCAAGCACTTTCATGTAGTATAAATGTTAGAAAAATAACTCAATTTCAAATCAGTCCAAATTCAGATTTGTACGGAAATAGAAAAAAATATTTCAAAATGAAATTCGCGGTTGTGCTATTGTTGGCCATTGTTGCCTTTATTTCCTCATCGTTTGCCCTAAAGGATGGTATGTTCGGAATTGTGTCGACAAATTGGATATAACATTGGAATAATATTGGAAACAATTTTCTTGTAGATATTTGTGCTTTGGAACATTCCAAAAATGGTGATGGTGTGGTGAGCTGTAATGCCTATTTCCCATCGTGGTCGTATGTAGCCGAAGCCAATGAATGCCGCAATTTTGTTTATGGTGGTTGTGGTGGAAATGAAAATCGTTTCGATAGCCTAGAGGAATGTGAACAAAAGTGTAAAGAATGAAGATTTTTTAAAAATAAATATGAATAAAGTGCAATAAAACAAAAAAAGATGAAATTGAAAAAATTATTAATATATAAATGGGGAGAAAATTGATATAAATCAACACTAAGTTTGAACGGGTCGGCTTTTTGAAAAGTGCTACCACGAACAAAGCCCTTATAATTTCAGAATTAACCATAGTTTTAGAATTCGGGAAATAAACTGTATTAGAACTATAAAACATTACAAAGCTATTGAGAATTTTAAAATATCGAAATGGCTATTATATGTACTAGGATATGCCCAAACATAGATATATTTCGAAAATTATTAGATCATTAATTTCGAAAAATTGCAATATATTCTCGTTGTCATGGAAATCTCAAAATCGAGATATACTCTTATGGGGAAGCTATCCAACAGGCGGACACAAAGATATCACATCAGGTTGTAGTGAAATAGTTTTGGAAAGCCTTTTCATTTTTTGTTAAATTTATTAAAAAAATGCGGGAACTCGCAGTTTTCACTTTTTAGAGTAGTGCGTGTATATTGGCCTGTTCACTATATCGGTGGTTGACTATATATGTACACGGCTGTATATTTCTTACGAAGTTTTTGGACCAATATATAAAGGTGTTGCAAATGAAATGACGAACTCAAAATAATCGTGAAATATTACAAAAAATAAGTCAGCAACATTTTCACATTGAGGCTTATCTTTTAAATTTAATTTTAAAAGTCACGTTATTTTTTTAAAACACGAATTGCTGGTGTTTACATTTTGGTTATTTTTTTTTATAGAGTATAAATATACCAAATGCTCTCACTTTCAAATATATATTGTACGCAGGAAAAACTGCACCAGAAAAATGAAGTATTGTATTGCCTTGTTCTTGGCCATAGTTGCCTATATTTCCTCGACATCGGCTCTTAAAAATGGTGAGTTGGTGGGGAACGGAAAATATTGTTTCTATAATAAACAATTATATACATCAATGATTGTTTCCAGCTGATGTCTGTGGTCTGGAGCCTTTCAAAAAATCCGATGGCTTTGTCTCCTGCTTAGCTTATATCCCCTCGTGGTCATATGTCAGGGAGGTGAACAAATGCTTCCAATTTGTCTATGGTGGTTGCTTTGGTAATGCCAATCGTTTCCACTCTTTGGAGGAGTGTGAAAGTCAATGTAAAGAATAAAAAAATATAAATATATAGTGGAGTTTTGTAATAAAAAAATGCTAACTACTTCCGATAAAAATATTAAATTTACCTAAAAATTGTAAATAGGCTTTTAGGTCAATGGCTTTAATTTGGTCAATTTAAATTATTTAATACTGATTAATCATAAAATCAGATATGTAGATAATATATATCAAAATTCGTGGTGTTCGACTATAATGTAGGATTCCAGAATGTCGAGGCTATCTTTGCTTGATTTGCATGTTGCAATAATTCTATTTCATTTCGCTAATTAGATCCCCAATTGTCGCCTCATCATTATTCTAAATAGTACAAATGTTGAACCATTTGTATTTGGCGAACCGGTAGAGCTAGAACTCTGGAACTTGAATGAGGGACACTGATGGTGGTCTTGAATTTTAAGTATACGAAAAGTACTAAATTTTGTACAATTTCGTAACATGTGAACGGATAGGCCCAAAAACATGAAATTTGGAGTTTGAATCAAGGTTAAGTAGTAAACGTTAAGTACTAATGTAATACAATTTATTTGTACAGTTTTAAGTTAACATTAACGTCGGAGTGCAGTATTGCAAACGTACGTATTTTTGGAAATTTTTTACTTATGTGTACGAACTTTGGAGTTAGCATCACTGTTGGGGTAGGAAGTTTTGGAAACTCGTACCAATGTGTACTAAATGGTACCAAATGGGGTGTATAATTGAGCTATGTAGGAAGATTTGGAAATTCGTACTAATGCGTACTAAATGGTACCATATGCGTATTTGGGCGAACCGATAGAGCTTGAACACTGACATTTGGAAATATGGTTACTGTGTTGGAGTATAGGATTGAGTTATGGATGTAGTTTTGATAATTAATTGTTATGGGTACTAAATGGTACTAAATTTGGTACAATTTGGATTTTGGATTAACCGATAGTGCTGACATCCTAAGTTAGAATCATTGTTGAGTGGAGAATAGAACTATGCAGGAAGTTTTGAAAATTTGTACTAAATGGTACCAAATGTGGATATGGGCGAACGGATATGGGCGAACACTGAATCTGGGATTTAATGTTACTGTTGGAGTGTTGGATTAGGGTATGGATGTAGTTTTGAAAATTCATTCTTATGGGTACTAAATGGTACTAAATTTTGTACAATTTGAATTTTGGGTTAAGCGATAGAGCTGGGATCCTCAAATTAGAGTTAGAATCAATGTTGTAGGTTTGTGGTATATACTGATATGTTCTAAATGGTAGTACAATTATAATTGTGTGAAAGGATTGATTGGAAGTCTGAAATTGGAAAATACGATTTCTATTGGATTTATATTAATGTTTACTAATTGTTACTAAATTTGGTAAAATTAACATTTGGGTAAACCTGAAGACCTGCAATCAAATATATATATATATATTCTTGGAAAGAGTGTAATTCTATGCTCGCAATAACTAAAGCAGAACATGCATTGTTACGACTCTTAGGTGGTGTGGTATTGAAAAAGGGATATGTGGGTCCACATTTTGGTGTGTTTTGGTGTCTTAGGTGGTGTGGTATTGAAAAAGCGATATGTGGGTCCACATTTTGGTGTAAACCCCGTTTTTCAATTGTATTGGCTATAATATGTTACTTATATGTTATGTTTCGGTTCGACCGAGTTTTTATTTCAAAATCTTTCTGTTGGAACTCGTGAATTTCATTTGTAATTTAAAATGTTTATTTCATTTTCTACCATTCGTTTTAAATTCAAACTATTTCATTGGAAAATCGAATTATTATATTTGTAATTAAAATAATTGCAAATGTAGTTCAATGTTCGTCTAAGCATCCTAAACATATCTCTTGTGATAAATCGATTACTTTGAAATAGTTGGCTTTTATGGTTTGAGTCAAATTTTCGTGGTACGTAGACCATTTTTTTTAAAATAAATTTTGTTAATATTATTTATTATTAAAAAAACAATTTAAAATGTGGTTACCATTTTCAATTATATTTTGACAATTCAATTTTAAATTGAAAAGTCACGACATGTTTGAGTGCACGAAGCGTTGGGGCATGAACTTCCAATTTGTTAATAAAAAACATTGTAACAATTATAAATGGCTACAGAGTATAAATACATTTTAACTATACAACTTTGCTATTGTATTCTTAAAATTCACCACCTCTAAGAACAAAAAATGAAATATTTTGCTGTTTTGTTACTGGCCATTGTTGCCTGCATTGCTACAACATCGGCCCTTAAAAATGGTGAGTTCGAAGGACAAAGCTCCCATTAAAAATTATATATTTATATAGATTAGTTCTCATTTCCAGAATTGTGTGACCAGGAACCTTTCAAAAACACTGATGGCTTCAGAACTTGCAGGGGTTCCTTCCGCGCATGGTCGTATGTGAAGGATTCCAATGAATGTGTCAAATTCGTTTATGGCGGCTGTTTTGGCAATGACAATCGTTTTGAGTCCTTGGCCGATTGTGAAAGGAAATGTAAGGAATAAAATATAAGTTTTTTTTTATATATTTTGGTGGAAAAATGATTGGTTATATTAGAGATCAAAATAAAATATTGCACTATAATTAGCCGATAACTGCTTGAATTTTTTCTGAAGTTATTATTTCACAAAATTAACTTTCAATCTTGTGACATGTAGGAGTAAGAACTAACAACAGAAAAGTATAGACCCTTCGATATTCTTAATAATGGCAAAATGTGTAAGGGAATGGAGAAGATAACAAGTTATCAATATCACGGTTCACATATAGGTATAGCCTCCACCTAACGGTACATGCGAATTTTCGGTATTTTTAGGAATTTTGAGCACGTTTTTCAAATGAATTAATTAAAATTTGGTAGTTTGGTGTTATTAAGAACCACTTTTTTTGGTAGCCCCCCCATATAACAGTGGCCGTAATTTGATATTTTGGATTCCCATTCGGTAAAAATATTAATAATAGCCAACTTTTTGGTTAAGCCCAAATATAATCACTGTTTATATTGAAATGAGTTATATGGGACCTTACTTCGCCATACTACGAGGGACTAACACCGATAGCTAAAAAAATAGATCGAAATAGTCAGTTTATATCAAAGTATGATTTATACGATTTAGGCATATCCGTCTGTTCTGCTGTAATCATACCACATACCGAAGAAATTATGATTCCGAGTCAAAAAGTCAGATTGGGAACCACGATCGTTTTCGCAAATGGTTATCGTATGTGATCCATTTCTCATCTCTAGTCGCCATTCGTTTAAGAAATGGGTCTATCTCATTCCGTTTGGCCAAGGCTTCATAGATGGAAATTCGATCCATCCTATTTTTTTCTGTTAATTGGTGTGGCACCTAAACATCGAGCTTCTTTTTTGAATCCAGCTTTGTGTAAATGGTTTAAAACAGTTTTATGGTCGATTTTTAGCTCCTGGGCGATGTTAATACTGCTAATATGCCGGTCAGCTTCGATAATTTCTCCGATTTTATCGACATTTTCGACGACCGGCCTAATGGATTTCTTTTTCCCTAACATAATATATCGGTCCTCGGTTCCTATTTTCGGCCTTTTAAAGAATTGGGCTGCATTTCAAATCAATGTGCCTATAATTTGGCATTCCAGGTTTGTGGACAGTGAAAACCATTTTGCAGATAATTTCAAATATATCAGTCCAGTTTCGAAATAGCATCACACTCCTGCCAACCTTTTTACAGAACATGTTCCATATTTATACACAGCCTATTCATAAACTCCGCAAGCCGAAATTCCAGTAGCCGAATTTTCCAACCATATTAATAAAATTCTAGGGGTAGGCAATTTATAGTGTAGATCCATGTTTTCAGATAGCTTCCATATAAGACTTCTATATACGAATACCTTAAATATACCAGGACAATTTTAGGTATTCTGAATGCGCTCCCTGTGGTGGATCGTTGTTTTAATAGTAAATACTATTTGATTGTATTTTTTGTGTAGTAAAAAATTTTCCCCAAAAATAAAATAATATTTTCCGATAAGCCTCAAATCACTGCGTCTCAATTCATTTGAATCAAATTTTAAATTCGCCAACAATTTAACAACATTGTGAAGATTAACAATAAAAGTTTCAAAATTAAAACGTTCCTACATTCCGAACGAATATTTAACAATGTACCCAACAAGAAATAGCAATACGTATTTCCCAATATTTCAAAAAAAGTAATTTTTTCCCGCATATGCATGCATTCGAATATTCGATACCTTATCTTTACAAAGTACAAATGAGTGCATCACCGCTGACAGAATGGGCCAGATGTGCTAATTCAGTATTGCTATCGCTTTGCGGATCTTAAACAATATAAATACAAATAAGATTTTAAATGTATGTGATTGGCCATTTTTTTTAATTTTATTAAATATTGATGTTTTAATGGGATTTTTGATCACGTATTTTTGATGAAAATAAAACTGGTTTTTTATTTGATATTTTGTTAGATTTTAAATAGAAAATGCAAAATTTGTGTTAATAAAGTTTCAGTTGATATTTAGTTCTCTCAGAACGCAACACACTAGAAATGAAATTATTTGCTCTGCTTTTATTGGTGTATAATGGAAAATAATAAAAGTCATTTAAAAAAATGAGAAAATAAAAATAGAAAAATAGGCTTTGGTTTTAAATTTATGTTGAATGTCTACCGTTTTTATGTTAATGTTTTGAGAAGCGATCTTAGAGATTTTCTTTATTAGGAAAATGTTTGAATTTATTGGGCGTATCTCCTTGAGTAATACACTTCGAATTTATAATTATCGAATTATTTCTGAGGAAGATGTGGTGTTTTATGTCGAATAATTTTGACCCTGAATATCAATTTCCTAAGTAGTATTTACTGCTTATTTATAATTCTCTGTAAGTTACATCGCTCAAAACTGTAATTATGGAATAATTTCTGAAGAGGATATATTCATTATATCAACAGTTTTGGTCCCCAGAGCACATTTTCCCAGGGATTCCCTATTTATGACTAATATTTTCCTTCTTAGAGGTAAATAACATATTTCTTTAAAGATCGTAATCATAAAAATCGTTTGAGATAAAAATCTGTGATAGCTTATACTTCTATGATATCAGAACCCCAACAAAATGAATTCAGTGACAGATAAGAAATCGCAACGAAATCTGAAAGCCTCTCATATAAACCATTTATGATTATTTAAAAATGATTTTAAAAAATATATGGTAAAAATAATTTGTTTTAGATATAATTACGTTTTTTTTTATTGTAATTCTGTGAAATGTCGGCCTACCCAAGTAAATTTTGTATAAAAAGTCTCAGTGTTCATCGAACAACCAATCACTTAAAGAAAGTATTTGAAGAATAACATCTACAAAAAAACTTTGAAAAAATGAAGATCCCAGCCATTTTATTTTTGACAATGTTTGGCCTGATTTATACCTCGTTGGCTGCTAATGTTGGTAAGGTCCTTATGTTCATAATTAGAGAAATGATATACCTAAGTCTATTTTCATATTTCTTCACAGATGTTTGCAAATTGGAACCTTTCGTAGATGGTTATGATGGCTTAGCTTGTCTTGCTTATTTCCCATCCTGGTCCTATAATTCCGAAACCAATGAGTGTGAGAAATTTATTTATGGTGGATGTGGTGGAAATGCAAATCGTTTTGAAACTTTGGAAGAGTGTGAAAGAACTTGTCGGAAATAAATCTTAATATAATTGTTTTATTTTTAGTATGTTTATTATTAAAAAATAATAAAATGTATATTGCCATTTTTTGTAACATAGCTTAAGCCTAGTTTCACCCCTTTGTAACTGTTAAAGTACTTGAGAAAAGTACTTGAGAAAAATTGAATAGTTTTGGATTTATTGATCTGCTGTTGCAAACTTTTCATGATATTGACCTCAAAATTTTTTTACGTGGATGCTGTGTCTACTTTAATGTAAAAAATGCGTAAAAACAGGGTGAGGCAATACAGTTTTTTTTTATGTTTTTATTTCGATTTGTGATTAAGACACTAATTTCACAGTCTCCGTAAAAGTAAAAGCCTATACAATGAGTCCCATTCGAAAATGTATCTGCATCCACCTTAAAATCTGTCATTGGGGTACCCGCATTTCTTCCTTTCGGAAAATCTTCTTCGTGAAAATCCATCTACTAAAATGGCAGGGCCTGCCAAAAACATGAAATTTTGCAAAAAAATAATTTTTTAAAAATATAGCGGATTTAGTTGCATTTTCTGTGGATCATATCCGTTTAAATAAATGACTTCATATGGATTTTGAACTTTTTCGAAAGGAAAACTTCAAATTTTCAGCCGAAATAGACATGTACCCAGTTTATCTTAAAAATAGTGTAACCTACGTCATCCACGGTTCTTAATGGACCGCATTGAAATATGTGTATAGATCGATGGATTTTTTTAGGTTGCCCATCGAAATCGGATGCGCGTTAATAGTATATGACCTTTTCGGAAATTATTCGCGTTTTACGAGTTTTTTGATATTTAGCTGAACCGGTAACACAGACATTTGGAAATAAGGTTCATTGTTGGGGGGTTGAATTGAGTTATTTATTAAGTTTTGGAAATTCCCACAAATGTGAACTAAATTTGGTAAACTTTAAATTGTGGGTAAAATAACATATGGGTACAAATTGAATTTTAGAAAAAAAATTATAGAGCTGGGATCCAGAAATTTGGAGTTTGGGTCACTATTTGTGTGTAGGATTGGGATATTAGGAAAGTTTTGGAAATTTGTACTAATGTGTACAAAATGGTACCAAATGTGTATTTAGGTAAACCGATAGAACTGGAACAGTGAAATTTGGAAATAAGGTTACTTGAGTATGAATGTAGTTTTGGAAATTCATATTTATGGATACTAAATTCAGGTACTATATTTTCCCAATTTTCTCTTTGTTCACTTCCATTTTTAAAACCCTGAAACTCACAACTGAATGCACCTAACAAAAAACAGCAAAATAATTTGTTTTACTGCGAAATGTCACCCTTCCAACGAGCATAAATCTGAAATGGCTTGATCAATATTTTACGAGAAATCTATTAGTATAACCATCTACCGGAAAAAATGGATTTCTTTTTCCCCAACCTAATATTTTCACAATTCAATTTTAAATTGAAAAGTCACGACATGTTTGGCATGAACTGCAATATTGTTAATATATATTGTAACATTATTTGTAAATGCATACAGAGTATAAATACATTTTGACTATACAACTTTGATATTGTATTCTTAAAAGAAAGAAAAGAAAAAAACAAAAAATGAAATATTTCGCTGTCTTGTTATTGGCCATTGCTGCCTGCATTGCTACAACATCGGCCCTTAAGAATAGTGAGTTTAAAGGATAAAAGCTTCAAATAAAATAGTATTAATTAGTCCTTATTTCCAGAATTGTGCGGCCAGAAACCTTTCAAAAACAGTGATGGTTTCAGAACATGCATGGGTTACTTCCTCTCATGGTCATATGTAAAGGAATCCAATGAATGTGTTAATTTCGTTTATGGCGGCTGTTTTGGTAATGGCAATCGTTTTGAGTCCTTGGCCGATTGTGAAAATAAATGTAAAGAATAAAATTGAAGTTTTATATAATTTTTGGTGGATTCAGGAGACGGGACAATGAATGTAAATTATCACTAAATACAAAATTATGTTATAAATAACAAATAAAAATATTGCATTTTACTCTTTAAAAAATTATTGATTGAAATACGAATTTAAAAAGTATTAATACTATATATAAATGATGGATCCCTTGGAAAAACTTTAAAAGTACTTAAAACAGAGGACAATTTTTAAAAAGGGGATACCTAGTTTCTGTATCCTTAAGGTAAAAAACAAAAATAATCTACTTATTTAAAAATTTTAATACTTATGAATTCAATATTAGGCGAATGAAATGTCCGATTTGAACCAAACTTTGCACAACATATTATCATAAGCAAGAATAAATGAAGTTTGAAGATAAGACCCATTGGTTCACTCCTTCTGGTACCTCTCCCACAGAGGCTCAAAAATTTCAATATTTATAAATCCAATATCAGGCGAATGGAATGTCTGATTTGAACCAAATTTTGTACAACCTATTATCCCTAGATCAAGTCAGAAGGTGGGACCCGTCTGCCCTCTCCTCTGGTACATCCTACAAAAAGGGCTAATATTACATATTTGATCAACATAAAATCCGAAACATACGGCAACACCGACTGACATTTTTTTACTTGGTTTAGGTCCCGTTTACAGAAAAAAATGTTAATGAATCCTGAGAAAGCCCCTATTTTTTCCAAAAATGTAAACTGTTCATTAATAATCTATTTTATTATCACTATTTACGCTAATATTTGTATCTCTCTCTCTATCTCTCTTCTTGACAAAAAACAAATGTGTTCACCCCAAGAAAAAAAAACACCTCCCCTCTTGTGCTGGTTACTACTTTTGCAACCATTTATCAACGTTTCTTTTGCTAACAACTGCCGTATCTTCATTCACTCGATTGATGTTAGTTTTGATTTACATTGTTTCTTTATTTTAGACACTATAACCGACCTCTGTATTGTGTTTTAAAATTCGCATATGTATTTTCCAACTTATTTTGATATCAATACCAAATACAATATATGAAACCAGTGTTGATACGAGCAACAAGCGCAACCAAATGTTTAACATTTTATTTGATCGCGCAATTATACAAGAGAAGTACATGTAAGGTAAATAAAAAGAAACGAGACGAGAAGAAACCAAAAAATAAAAACTAAAAAGACAACGAGTTTCTGTGCCATAGAAAACCGGCCACCAAACACCCTCCAAAGTTGTTTTTTCACTCTCTCTCTCTCTTACAAGAAGCCAGAAATTCAGATATTGACAACACTTTCTGAACACTATTCATGTAATATACGAATTATTTTTTTCTGTGTGGTCTCATTTAAGAATACTAGAAACGTTTATTGTAAATCCTGTATTTTTTATTTTTGTTTTAATTTATTGTAAATGGTATTGCAAATTATTGTAAAATATTCAAAATTATCCCACTTTCCGAACAACCATTAAACATTTACAATATAAAAATTTCCCCAAACAGAAATAGCAAAACGGATTTCCCGATATTTCAGAAAAAGTAAATTTTTCCCGCATATGCATGGCATGCACAACATTTGATACTATATCTTGACAAAATACAAATGAGTGCATCATCGCTGACACAATGGGCCAGATGTGCTAGTCCAGCATTGCTATCGCTTGGCGGATCTTAAACAATATTAATACAAATTAGATTTTAAGTAGAAAATGCGAAATTTGTGTTAACACAGTTTCAGTTGAATTTTAGTTCTCACAACGCAACACATTAAAAATGAAATTATTTGCTCTGCTTTTATTGATTGTAGTCGGAATTATTTCCTCTTCAAAAGCCCTTAAACAAGGTGAGTTCTAATAAATATAGAATTGAGTCAATAATTCCTATGAATGTAATCTTTTGTTGTAGATCGCTGTGGCTTGTTGCATTCGAAAAATGGTGACAACGGTATAATGTGTGAAACATATTTTCCATCGTGGACCTATAAGGCCGATACCAATGAATGCATCTATTTTGTTTACGGTGGTTGTGGCGGCAATGCAAATCGTTTTGAATCTCAAGAGGAGTGTGAAAGGGAATGTAAAGAATAATGGAAAATAATAAAACTTATTTAAAAAAATGAAAGACTTTGGATTTGAATTTATGTTGAATGTTGATCAAGAACATATTTTTTCTGAAGAAAAGCAAATTTGCCGTTTTGTGAAGTGATCTCATCGTAACAAAACTGCAGAAGCTGAGGTGATGCTTCCAACAAATCAATATTTTTTAAGGAGACTTTCTCCTTGAGTAGTACACTTCGAATTTATAATTCTCGAATTATTTTTGAGGAAGATGTGGTGTTTTTTGTCGATGATTTTTGATCCTCAGTCTCATTTTCCTAAGTAGTATTTATTCATTATTTATATTTCTCTTTATGTTACAAGGTTCAAACCTGTAATTATGGAATAATTTCTGAAGAGAATATATTAATATATATATCAATAATTTTGGTCCCTGGAACATATTTTCCCAGGGATTCCCTATTTATGACTAATTTTCTTTCTTAGAGGCAAATAACATATTTCTTTAAATATCGTAGTCATAATAATCGTTTGAGATAAAAATCTGTGTTAGCTTATACGTCTACGATATCAGAACCCCAACAAAATGAATTCAGTGACAGATAAGAAATCGCAACGAAATCTGAGAGCCTATCATATAAACCATTTACGATTATTTACAAAGATTTTGTAAATATATGATATATATAAATTGTTTTAGGTGTAATTACGTTTGTTATTTTAATTCTGTGAAAAGTCGGCCTACCGAAGTAAATTTTGTATAAAAAGTCCCAGTGTACATCGAACAACCAATTAGTTAAAGAAAGTATTTCAAGAATAACAGCCTGTTTTTGTAAAATTCCAAACGAGCGAATTCGAGTGACTTAATTTATGTTTATAAAGGTTTTCTGAAAAACAAAAATAAATGACATATTTTTCAAAACCAAGGAGTTTGGTCGTAAGTCACTCGAATAATATCAAAAAATATCTAAAAAAAAATGAAAATCCCAGCCATTTTATTTTTGACAATGCTTGGCCTGATGTATATTTCCTTGGCTGCTAATGTTGGTAAGGTCTATAATTTGTCTATGAGAGAAATGACATTTAGTTTTTTGTAAATATTTTACCACAGATGTCTGCCAATTGGAACATTCCGTAGATGGTTATAATGGCACAGCTTGTTTTGCTCATTTCCCATCCTGGTCTTATAATGCCGATACGAATGAGTGTGAGAAATTTATTTATGGAGGATGCGGCGGAAATGCCAATCGTTTTGAAACCTTAGAAGATTGTGAAAGAACTTGTCGGAAATAAATAATAATATATATTTTGAATATTTCACATGTAATTAAAAATAATAAAGTACATATATACACATCCACTGGTGGCAAAAATAAATCAACTATATAAATTACCTGAAACTTTTTCGAAAATAATTTTATAGTGAATTTTTTTCAGAAATAAATAGATAATTTATTCATTACAAAAACAGAAACAAAAAATATTAACGCAAAATTTATTTTGAAATAAAAAATATTCTCTGGAAATCTAAATTGTCCCAATTTTTTATTGGTCAAAACTAATGCAGTTTTTTGATTTTTTCTTATAAATAAGCAAATTTTACTATCATCGGCAGCATAACCATTATTTTTGATTATGGCAGCACATCTACGAGGCCATGAATCAATGCTCAATTTGAACCTTGGGTATACAATTCCTCGCATCCTGAACCTTTGGGAAGAGATTATGTCTGTTTATTTGTGAAACTCTTTTGATTTTGATATCTACGATACTCCATATATTTTCTATACGGTAAAGTTCTGATGATTGTGTTGGACATTACAAAATCCTGATTTTTTTACTCAAAACCCAATCTTTGACATGTTTTGGAGGTTATTGTCAAGCTGAAACACTCAAACAAGCGGAATAAGTTCTTCAGCTAAGGGAACCATAGCCTTTTCCAACACATTTGTATAAACAATCCGATCCATTACTTCAAAAATCTCGTAAATATATCGAACACCATAAAAAGAAAAAAAACAGCCCAATTCCATTATTGGCCCTTCCCAGTACCTTTGCAATACTGTGCCACAAGCCTTTCAGTTTTGGACTTTCTCATGGTATTTTTTCTTGTCTGAGTCCTTATTATTAACTTTAATTCTTCCGAGAGCATAATATTTCTCCACTGAGTCGGATTCCAATTACTGATGTTTATTTGAATCCTTCCCCCTGCCTACATTTGGTATTTATAGTAAATCGTTCTCCCAACACTATATGTCCACTGTAGGCCCTATATAATGGCACCACTCAAATAGGTATATTTTGTGAGATTTTGTCATTCACATTGAGTGGAAAATAATAAATTATCAAAATTGAACCAAGTTTCAGGTTAGGTTGCATATAATAGTAGCTCCTATTCTAGGTTCCCATTGCGTGTCAAATCTTCCTTCAAAAATAACCAATATCGTCTTGTTACAGCATCCATATGTAGGTATGTACTTGCAATTGTTGGTATATAGTCCCGCATAAAATTTTCGGCTTGGCGAACTTAATTATTTGAAGTTCAGTCTCATTTTAGCTTATATGTTTTCGGCAATTGAATATAAGTTTCGGAAATTAGGAAAACTTCTCAAGAGTTTAGAAACAATTTCTTGGTCGTATGGCCTTCATATCAAGGTCCTAAAGACTCGATGGGGAACCAGCCTCTTCGTGCATAATTTCTTACCTTTCAGTTCGGCGGTGTTCCGCCCTCTTGAACACTGAAACCAGGTCCCAATAAAAATAATAGAATATTTTTATACCCATTTCATAACAAAGGCAATTTGAAAATTTATCTGTACAATATTTGTATCCCAGAGGTTTATTAAAACTCTATAAATTCTGACTTTCGTAATCACTAACCACAGATTGGATGTTATTTTTTAAATTTCAACATTAGCTTTGCAAGAAACACAAATATTGACAACGACAATTTTGTTTTCAATAAAATTTTATTTGCAATAATTTTCATTCTACACACATATCAACACACTGCTCTTTAGTTTCAAAGCGATTATCATTTCCATGACAGCCGCCATAGATGAACTGAATGCATTCGTTTGTGTCAGATTTATAGGTCCACGGACGGAATAGTGCTAAACAGGAACGGCCCGATGCATCTGTGGTCTTGGAATGTTCTTGGCCACATATTTCTAAACAAAATAACAAAAAAATATTTATTTTCCATGAAGTAAAACTAATAATAAAATCAATCAAATATTACCATTTTTAAGAGCCATCGAAGAATGCACCAAAAGGCCAATGATGTAGATTTTTTATTGCTGGGGGGTTTTATAGACAAAATACGTTTGGATGATAGGAATGAATCTATAATAGAAATACGATTAGAGAGCTTCGATTAATTGTGTGTATGTCGTTTAAGATTATCAATTCTTGCCATGCATTCTATTGCATAATTTCTTTTTTTAATTGCTTTTGATGGGAGATTGTTTTTGAAAACAAATTTTCATAATGATGATGGGAGATTAACAGCTTAATAATTCTGAATTATCAGTTTCTGAGTGAACCATTTAAAACAAGTTTGAAAACTGTTTGAAGTTGTCGGCACTATTGAAGGAATAAATAAATATAACGTTCAATCAAAGTTGGTCTATGGGCCATGTTAATTTATTTCCTAATAAATCGAAATAACACATTACTAACTATTCAGATGGGAAAATTCAGTTAGGGTCTTTAATTATGAATTTTGTCAATACACAATGTAAATTTGTTCTTTATTATGATTTCGAACAGTTCCCAATTTAGTAATATTATAAAAAAATATTCATACATTTCATTTAAAAAAACTATGTTCTCTTTTTAGGATTTTCTCAAAAACAATCTACTGGTTTTTCAGCCATATTTGCAAATGAAAACTTCATACCAACAACAAATTTATACAAATACAATGACGTTGAACCTGGGTAAGTGTTTTCAATATTTTATATTTTTATATGCAAAATCTTTATTTTCCAAAAAATTGTTTTTTTTTATAAACTTTAATCGTGTTTATTTCAATATTTTCAATCCTTAACATGAACATTTCTTTTGTGTACATTTACATTTACTCTACTGACACAGTCCGATCTTGGAATGTTCTTGATCGTAACTTTCTAAAAATTAAAAGATGCGTATTGAACGTTCGTCCATAAAAAAGTAATCAAATATATTACCACTTTTAAGGGCAGTTGTTGATTGCACCACAAGAGCAATGACGATTAAGAATATAGCAAAAGTTATATGAGGCCATGCCTAAAGGGTAACCAATATAGATTACATAGTGTAGGAATTAGCGAATATTTGGGGTTATCATTGTATGAGGGCTATTCCTAATTAATGACCAATATATGTCAATTTCGTATCCTTTTTTTAGTTATGTATCTCAATTATTCGCTACAGGAGGTATCATTATATGAAGGAGAGGCCTAAATGCATGCCGATATACATAAAATACAAATTTCAGAAAATTTTATGGATATTTTCCCTAAAAATCCCAAAAACGGGACCGATATTGACGACACATGGTAGAATCGAACATCCCCAAAATATTGCAATTTAGGAGTAGTTAAAAATATCGAAAATCGGTAGGTATCATTGTATGGGGACTAGACCTAACTGCGGACCTATATAGTTCATTTTCGAACCTCACGTTCTAATTTTTGAAGGGGGGGTTTCTTATTTGGGCGCTATCCGAAAAAATTGACATATATTTATAATTTTTAGTAGAGAGATTTGCTACCCAATAAGAACTCGAAGTACAGAAGCCCCAAAATACCGAAAATTTGAGGGTACCATTATATGGGGACTACCGGAATAAGTGAACCTATATTTATAATTTGGTACCCAATAAGAACCCAATGCACAACATTTCAGCGAATTTAGTTAAAATTTTTGCGATCTATCTCAATTCCTTTAGACGCTAGAGTGAATACAACAGACAGACGGACATGCTTAATATATCGTCATAGAATTTTACGCTGATCAAGAATATATATACTTTATAGGGTCGGTTACAAACGGAAAAACAAAACTAATATACCCTCCGTATTATCGGGGCACCTTCGGCAATCGCGTTTTCGATATGAAGCTCTCACCGTACATCACTAGTTTCGATACATAGGTATCGAATATCGAAATTAATAACTGACACAAAGTTTGAAATTTCTAGCTAATAAGCTTATTTAGATACATGGGTTTTTGTATTTTTATAGGTGTTTCTGTAATATTTCAATTTCATTTCGTAAGTATTTCGTGTATAAACCTTTTAAAATTGTTAAAAAAATATTGTTAAAAAGTGGTTAACTACGATGTGTATTATTATAAAAATTTTTAAAAATATAATGTTTTTACAAATCTGATCGAAAAAAATGAAAAAAACTATAAAAAGTACATTCGGGGTACATTCGGCATTTTAAAGTGGGGCACATTCGGCCATATACCGATTGTGCAATAATATTTCTTTAAAATGTTTTTGAGTTTGTCTTTAAGATTAATCCTTTAATATGGCTCGAAATTGCATATATAAGATCAAACGTGCTTGTATTGACGAAAATGCGATAGAAAACCTCTATTTCTGATGGTGAGTGCGACCTTGAGATGTAAACGTCCGCCGCTAGAAAATAAAGCCCTAAAATTCAAACATTGTGTGGCGTATTAAAACCAAATAGAGCCTTTAGAGGATCAGAATTTCAACCAGACTGATAGCGATGACAATTACCCGGCTATGACTATGGTGCCGAATGTGCCCCATCAAACTAATACTATTTTTTTATATCTTTTTGGTACTATTTTTTATAATTAAGAGTCAGAGGGCAATAATCAGCCATAAAGTTGTTATATATGTTGAATAAGTACTGAGATATAGAGCTCTAAAAAAAAGTGCCGAAGGTGCCCCAGTCTCCCCTACACTCGGTAATAATATGTTTTGAATAAGCATCCATAAATCTGGTTCTGAATGCTCAAAGTACAAGGAATGGAATTCATTGACCACCATATAAAATCTCCTGTCAAGCAACTCTTCTTCATTCGTTATGTCAAGAAAAAACTGGTTTTAAATTTACCAAAGGAAATCTGTAAGCAATTATTATAGGACGAGTGATGTGATACCTAGATAATATCTTGTCGATTAGAACTTTTTGCAGAGCTAAATCCAATTTTGGCACAAAAACAAGAGTATGAGAATTGTATAGGTATATGTGAATCAAATTTGATGACACTTCGTTATGGTCTCTGACAAATAAAATTATAGACTGTACCTTTGATTTTCCTTTATTTTT